CTTGCTGTGCACATGTGGAGTCTGCAAGTCAACAAGTGTTGTGTCCTTTAAATAATGTTTAAAAAAAAATTTTCTGAATTTTCTGTTTGTATTAAGCAGCAAAAACTGTTGTAGCATCATGTATTTGCCCTCGTTCACATCGCACTGTCTGTGATATGGCGATACATTGTGAAGCTCTAAATCATAGCATGAAAATCTGGAACTAGTTCTACTGGTACTGCCTTCTAATGCAACATGTGCAAACACTGGAAAGAGTTAGCAGGATACAAAAGTTCTAATAAACTGTGGTTTTCTTTACGGTTTTCTTTACTCCACTGAGATTTCATGCCAACCGGTGAGCAGTTGTTTGGGTAAATGCAGTATTCCGTCCTAATGGTCCAACTCATATGACTCAAAGATATGATTTACTACCTTTACCAGCATCCTAACCTAGAAGTAAATATAGATATACTGCTATACATTGTGTGTTGAGTGAGTTTAAATGCCAAGTTTGATGGTTTTCTTTTCTAATAGTTCAAATAACATGAAAACTTAAAAACTGTTTTCTTTTTATGTTTGCTTTAGTCCAGCTTTGAACCTGAAAACCTTGCAACACTTCATTTCTAAGAGGTCCAGAGTAAGTGCTCTTCAGTGTTCCTGTAAACCTCCGTATGAATGGCTGCATACTTGAAAAAACACAACAAACAACTGAACTTCACATGCTCTGATGAGAACCCGTTTCCATGGTTACCATTCTTGTCAGTTCAATTTACATTACTTTTTATTTTTCACCGTTTTTAACAGCATCAGTGTTCTTACAAAACAGAAGATAATAACTGTAATTGCATAAAAGGTGACAAAAGAAGAAGCGTGTAATCCCTGGCGTGGGCTCACCCTGTTGTGTTTCTGGGAGCGCGACTCTTTGGCAGGTTTGTCCTCTGCGTGGCCTTCACGTGTCTTCTGCTGCTGAGGTTTAGGTCTGTCAGCACAGGGCAGAGCCACCAAACCTGGAGAACATAAACAATAAGGCATCACAGGCATTCGGAACAAAGATTAGGAAATAAACTGCCTGAGTGGCTGACAGGACTTTCTTGGTTTATGAGAAATCAAATGACCTCAGCAAAAGGAGTTGTCGTTTTTTGCACAAACATCCGCACTGCACGTCTGTTGTCTGCTTGTAGCAATGAGGGCAGGATGACTCACATCCTGCCCTCATTGTCATGTCATCTCATGTCATCTCATGTCCACTGACTCTCCAAAATTCGTCCCATGTAATATAATGTCATGCTTATGATGTATTTTATTGGGTTTTTAAAAAAAAAATTTTTATGTCTTTATATTAAATACTCAGTGAGCTTTTGAATTGGCCCTAGGGGATAAATAAAGTTATTTGAATTGAATTGAACTGAATTAACTTTACAGCAATAAAATATAGATTAAGATTTTTTTTTTCAAGTTTTTTGGCTTGTGTAAGGTTTCAGTCAGTGTCATCTATCAAACTTTAATGTATCACAAAGTTCAACAAGTGTGGGCAATAAAGACTGACTGATTATCAATATTCATTATTTTCCCTCCCCAAATCCTGAGAAAATAAATGAATTCATAAAAGCACAAATTTGGCTCTAATGGAGCCATTTCTCTCTATTTACAGTCATCACTCTGCGGTCTCAACCAGCACATGCCATGAGTAGAAGTCTATCCACAGTGAAGAATACTTGCTGAAAAGTTCTCTTCTTGTAATTGAATATACTGAAAACATAAACAAACAGACATTTTAACATATTTATTCATATATAAAATCGGTTATTGGTGTCTTTAACAAATAATTATTGGTCCTGAAAATACTTTTTTGAAAAGATTTGTGTTACTCAAATGAATCCCAAGTATGAAGACTGAGTCTAAAATGGACACTGTGCTGTTGAGCACAAAATGTTCTCAACATGTTCCATTAGTTTGCTAATGAACAGCAGGTTTGGCTGCATAGATGCTCGGTGTGGCCAAAGCTTAGAGCGCACAGCGTAACACACAGTTAATGTAAGTCTGACCACAGCTAATTATCTAAATACAGTCCAGGATACCAGCTCATAACACTGGTTTGCTCTGTGTGTGTTACTGGGTTACAAGGAATGAATGGATCATTTGGTAACTTTTTTCCAGATCAAAACCCTGGAGGACCAAGAAAGCAACAGCTCAGAACAGAGGTCACGACGGCCAGAAGGAGACCGTTTTAACTGTACAGATACAAATAAAAGTATTTTGATGCTGAACTATGTGCTGCTTGCTGATGTTGTGAAGTGTAAACTTTGGAAACACTTTCAATTACAGCCTTTTTTTGTAGGTTCATGTTGAAGAACTAGTAGAAAGATGTCTGTGTATTATTATTATTTAGATTTTGACACAAGAGGATGCAATGAAAGTGCTGAGGGTTACTGTCTTTCATCTGTAGCTCACAGATCATAACCTATTCTCACTGTCTAATAAATTGTTAAAAAAAAAAAAGAAATGTCATTTAAATATTACAACACTTTTTAAATACTCAGAAATTTAAAAAAAAAAAAAAATATATACTAATGGCAAATGTGTTCGAAAATGTTGTATAACGTATTTAAGAGAGTCAACTGACTTATTTCTAATTAATAAACTTTGTATATTTTTAAAAAATCCATGTGCGACTTCACGATAAAGACAACATGAAGAACTTCTGCTACTGAAGTCACATGATTTTCTCTAACATGCGGAGGTCCGTCTTGTGAAGGTGCTGCGATTTTTTTTCCAACTGGGTTCTCCTGTCTAAAATATGATGTTCTTTTCATAAGCTGGGACAACTGTCAGTTTAAATGTGTTGTTTCCTACACATTAAATCCATGCAGTGATGACAGGACTTACTGCCCTGTGTTGTAGAAAATGTAGAAGCTGCTCTCAACACCTACTGAAAAGCAGGTTCACCAGTCCCTTAACATGCATGGATCATTGGTTTGGTTCTACCTGATGTCCGTCTTGTGGCTGAGGAGGAAGTGGTGCTGATGGAGGAGGAGGTGGACTGAGATCTGCTGGGCTGCTGTCGTAAAGACCTGATGGCAGGATGAGTCCCGCTGCTGTTACTGCTCTGAGAACAGAGAGAGTCGCTGCTCTCCGACTTCACCAGCCTGCATCATTCACACAGATAAAGACGGAAAAGATTACAAACATTTAAAACCGAAGATCTTCCCATTTGTCTGGCAATTCAAATTCATGCCGCTAACCCATAGACTGCACATAAAAGACAGATGTAAGCTTCAGGTCTGAAAAGTGACTAAAACCTGCGATCTTTCTAATAACCAGCAGGAGGCGACTCCTCAGGTTGCAAATAGAAGTCTGACTGTACAGGAGTCTATGAGAATATCACTCTACTTCTCACTTGATTTATTACACCAGTGAACATTTTTCTAATACGTTTATGGTCCTAATTGCTTGTTTCAAGTCTCCTTTAATACAGCATGTTCTAAACTATGATTCCATTTAGATTAAAATACCCAATAAAGCAGGATGTGCTTACAACAGGCGCTACCTTGTGATGGACAAGTCACTACCTTATGTGTGTTTGTCCTTAAGTTCTCAATCAGATCCACCCCTCACTCTCCAAGTCAGATTTTAAAAGACCAAGACAACAACGGCAGAAATGCAAAACTTGAGGTTTGAAATTTAGTCCACAAGCCAACATGTTGTGTCACAGAGTCCCTCTTTTTATACCATCTATTTGCGAACCAGCAGGGACTAAGACCATCATACCTCTTGCGAGGATAACCTCCAACAATCTCCGTTTCCCAGGACCTGCGTTTCAGTCGAGCTACATCGTTGTTCTGCAGCGTCTCTCCGTCAGGTACACTTCCTGGTTCTGATATCACAGCAGGTGACGGGGCAGGGCTGAGGGCGAAGGGGAGGGCACAGGGCTCCTTAGAGCAGGTGGTTTGGGTTTCATATCGAATCAGACGAGACTGGAGCCGCACAAAGGCCTGGTCCCGGTCCAGAGAGCGCCGGTTATCCAGACAGAACCTGCAGGAACAAAGACGTAAAATTAAAAGTTGTAGTAATAAATGAAGTATGGAATGGAGAGTGATGAGGCTTCAAGAGAGAGTCTGGGCTTCTGCTGACATGATTAATGTTTCATAGCTGCCTGTACTGTACAATAGCACCTATTGTAGCTGAACGGTGGATGCATACTTTATAGGAACTTACTCTATGCCGTGGTAATGGGAGGCAGAGGCCTTGCTGAAGGGCATCTGGCTGATTCTCCGGGGGGAAAGGTCTGGTGACAGCTGAAACACATTATTACTGAACAGAAACAGAATGTGGAAAGACAGAGTAGGAATGGGGGACACACAGAGAGAGAAGGAGGGTGAACAAACTGTTTGTCTTCTGTCTCCATTTAATATTCACTTCATTAAACCATATGAATAAAATTGACCTAATTAAACACGCACAATTTGGTCTGACAGAATTTTTATTAGCACTAATTGACGACTGCTCTGCTCTGGTTTGTTTTCTAACCCAGCTCAATAATTTTCTTCTAAAGGTTGTAAGCCCACTGTAAAAAGGCTAATGATCATAATCAAATCCTAATTACGTCCTCATTAAGCGGTTGTCTTTCCCATCCATCCTGGAAACAAACTTATCTAACCACACACGTACTGTTTATCTGGCTGCAGTATGTGCATTTGTAAATCTGAAGGTTTGTAGCAGCTATATATAGGTGCTGTCTGAAATCTGATGACTGAGCCTACCTTCTGTTGACAGCCAGTGGTTGTAGCTCCCCAGTGGGTAGACCATCAGATGTGAAGTGCTTTAGAAGTTCTTTGGCATCTAGTAAAGCAGAGGAGCCCCTCTGACTGTCTTTAGGACCCAGCAGACTGTCACTAGAGCCTGGACCTAATAGACCAAACCTAAAGCACACAAAGAAAACAATTAAGAGCCCATATTTTAGGAATCTACGCTGAGAAAAATTGGCCAAACAGAGGCAACCCCGTTTACCTTCTCTTCTGTCGTCTCCTCTGCAGGTTCTCCACGTTGTGCAGGACACTCCTCTCAGGCCAGTCAGATGGCTGCTGGGAAACGGTCGGAAACCCTGAGAATGAAAAATAACAAGGCTCACTCTGGTAGAATTAGATAAGAGCTGTCTGCAGCGCTTCAATTAAAAATCCCCTCCAACAAGGATGTGTGTTAAGAGCAATTCTAGTGCCATGAAATATTCCGAATGATCGAAAAAATATGCAGTTGAAAAATTAACTTATTGTCTCGGTCTCCATCAAACCCTTAATTGGATGATTTTCATTAAAACTGCAGTCACAGGATGCCTCACATTATGAAGCAACAATGGAGGCAACAATATACAATGCTTTCAAACCAGTTTACTTGTAAATGAGCTTTCATTTGAATAGAAATATGCTTAGTCATGTATGAAAGGCTTTAGTTGTTAGACATGGACATGGCTGAAAATCCAAATAACTGCTCGGCCTGAGGCGCCGCTGTCTGTCACTGCTCAATGAGATGTTGGAGCGCACAGTGGTAGATAACATGAGAGAATAAATGAGAGTTATCCATCATTTTCAAATGCTGATAGATGAACATTCACAGCTCCTTAAAGGAAGTAAAGCTGCTGCTGCTGCTGGAAAACAAAACCGTAACCGAATGGTTCTTCTAACTGCTAACAAGCGTTCTGTATGTCTTCATCAGGATTTTGTTCCACTCTTCTTCTGTGATGATTTTTCTTTTTTAGTTCTTTAAGGCTTCCCTGCCATCATTCTGGTCTTTCGTTCGATGATGATCACAGCAAAATGCTGATATTTCTTTTCACCATTTCCTCACTATTTTGGCTGCCTGTTTCACACTAGTGTCTTGTTGTTGGGTGTGTTTGTGATTAAACCCAGCTTCTTTCTTTCACCAAATGTGTCCAAACAACTACATTTTTGTCCCATCTGACCACAGAACTGATGACCATAAGGACTCTTCTTTGTCCAGGTGAGCTTTTGTGTGCCTGTCTTGGAGAACTGAAGTTCTTTTTGTTCGGTGTCCATGAAGATCTTGGTCTCTTCTTGGCCTCTTCCACTGCCATTCTTCAGCACAGGGGTCACTTTTGACTTCTTGCAATGTCCTTTAAGATTTTTAACACTGTAGAGTTCCTTGTACTTTTTGATTATACATTGGCACTTAAAAACACTTGGATATGACTTTACAGCCTTTACCGACTGGTGAGCAGCCGCAATGCGCAATTTTCTCTCAGCGATGGACCATAATAGCAGCTCCATTAGCTCCACTTTTTTTTTTTTTTTTTTTAGCCATTAAGTAATAACTAACTAGAGAACTACTGCATGAGCTCAATTTAGAGCGCATTAGAACGGTCCAGAACATGGTAGAAATTACCAGGATCATGTGGAATAGTAAGGAAGCTGCACTTTTTAGAATTTCAAGTAGTAGTAATAGTAGTATAAATGTGTAAATAAAAAAGGGTAGAAAGGCATTTCAAGTCAGAAGAAACTAAAAATGTAAATTTGGCATTGGTGTGTATGTTGGGGGCTTAACTGCATGTATACAAGTTTTAGTTTTTAGACATGGACATACTGCTGTAGCATGTGATGCTGTTTAATCAAACACACAGTCGTAGATAACACAAAAGAAGAAATGATTTTCAGATGCTGATGGATGAACATTTACAGCTCCCTAAAGGAAACAAAAAATCGGCGCTGCTTGAAAAATAAAATCTGTAAGGCATTATAAAGGTCTCATTACACATTAGACCGCAGATAAACAAGGACTCTGTTTCGACCTGGTGTAAATAAATAAAGCAACAGTGTCTTTTATCAGCACACTGCATAAAGTCAGCATCACGTACAGTGTGATGGATTGCAAGAGTTATCTGAACTTTCACTTGAAGCAGGTCAACACGCTGAACTCTTGGCAGAAAAAACCCTTAACAGGTGAAATCTCAGCATCCAAAATATCAGCATCTCTGCACTGCTTTGTAGGTTTAGACGGGGTGATGGTACGTTATCTCGAGAAGGACAGAGATGTGATAAATCTGGATACAGCAGGTTCACTGACGAGACGAGGGCGTTTCATGCACGGTAATGGCCTGAGGATGAAAGTGAGGTGTATGAAGAAACTAAAGCTCCTTCCGCCAGCGAATCTGACAGCCCACACAAAGTCATTCACACCTTTAGGCAATGCAGACGCACAAAATCAAAAGACATACCTCATATATTTAGATTGCAGTAAAAATACATTTCCATCTCCAGAGCACAGGGTGGGGAAGGATTATGGAGAAAAATAACCTGATTTGGATTTTAGACTGTATGTCGATAAATGTGAATCATGTCATCACTCATGTTTCTGGTTCACGTCTCATGAAATTCAAATATACCCTTTGTGGGAGGTTTTGGGACAGCGTAATGCATTCACGAAATTAATAGGAAACACATTAATTTAAGTGGGCTGTTTGATGAACCAGATAAGTGGTAGTTTTGCTGGTAAAGGTGTTTCCAGTTTATGCGAATACTATTACACATGCTGCAGACTCAAGGCCTCAATCTGCAAGCACGGACAATTATACAATAAACATAATGATGGACAATGTTGTACAGGGACTCCAAACATAATTTCCTAATAATGTCACAGCATTTATGACTGCCTGACATGCGGCTCTATTAGCCCCTGAGCTATATTTTTAGAACCAGTGCTGCCCTCACTGTGCACATTTGGCTGTAGCTGCAAGATGGGATTTGTTTTATTGCTAACAATTTATTTGTGAATTATTAGCTGGTATTGTTTCCTAAAACTGTTCATCCTATGAAGGCACATGTAGTGAATATTGATGTGTTGCTGTGTGACAATTTATGGAGTTCTGGTAATTGGGTGAACCAACATCAGTTTTCTAGATGTTGTGTGTTCACAGATTTCTATTGCGCTCTTGTTTGTTCTCCTGTGAGCATCCTTTGACTGACTGAATAAACTAAGGCCAATGACGGTTAGTAAATCCTATATATATATATCTATACTATTATCATACAGTTTGACAGAAGCAATAACTTTAGCTTCATGGCATTTATTCACAGCAAATTAAGCGTTATTTAACACTCTGAATCCCGAGTAGTTTCTAGGCTGTTGTTTGCTGCTGTGACAGTTTTTACTCACTGTGGCTCATTTTTTCATTGCAACACACCTCACACACCTCTATAGAAACAACACGACCATGAAGAAAAAACTCAGAAATGCTATTTGTGCAGTCCAACAAAGTTAGAATGCACTAGAATACTGAAAGAAACAGCAGCTCTAAATGCAATTGATATTTTACTATTTACATTTTTACAACATCTGCAAAGTAGTCATTTTTCTCTCGACACTGTATATCAGTTCTGGAAAACATTTCACCAGCAGCTTACTGACAACGTCCTCTTCTGTATACTGTTTTTTTTAGCCATGCTGCATTTATTTTGCTGTTTAAGTATGCGGTATTTTGGTCTTACTCTGATTTGTTTCCTAACCTGTCTCCTATCAGCTCTGTGTAAACACAGCCTGCAGTTGAGCCGAAAAGTTTCATATTTTTTGTCATATGAATGTTGATCACGGCTCAGTGAAAGTTTATTTTTGATAATTTTAAAATGAGACGTGTAAAATAAAGCGATTTTGATGACATGCCAGAATTGTAGACTTAGATATGGTTAAGGAAAAGTGAGTCACACAAGAAATGATTCTTCCTTTTTTTACAGTTTCAGGCTGTGATAAATGGTGTAATTTTGGCGATAAAATATAACATTGATTTCAAACCCACTCAGATACTTGAGTGGATAAATGCAACTTGACATGAAGATGTAAATTTAAAAAAAAAAACTAATTTTCCATTCTGTATGTATCTACTTTAGCTGTAAAAAAAGGCTGCATTGTCTCGTTTGTTTGTCGTTCTTGATCCATACCTGAGTTTTTGGCGGCCTGACGGTCTTTCAGACAGGTGGCAGCAGTGGGCAGATTGGAGTCGACCATCTTCAGATACTGTTCTCTGGCTTGACTCAGAATGGCCTTCAAGTCATTGACGGGTATCGACGTTGATGCGGAAGCTTCATTTTTCTGTCCTGGTCACACAAAGAGAGGCTGGCTTTCATTGTTTGTTGACAGATTACTGGCAAACTCAGAATAGAGAACAGTGTTGCAGTTGTTACGTAGTAAATACTTTGAGGATTCATTCTCCTTCCAATATGAAATTAGTTCTTTTTTAAATCTCCACTAGACTGGCGAAATGATAAGGGGACATTTTTATAGCTTCTTTCTTTTCAGCAAAACTTTAGCCAAAAATATTTGATTCATCCAAGTCTGCGCAGGTCGGTGCGAATGCATGTGGCGTCCACGCATGGCACAGAATTTGTGACACCGCAGGCTGTCCGCAATGCTGGTGCTAAAACAAAGGCGCTGTGCAGTTCTTGGTCACTAAAACCTTTATGATTCATCATTAAAATAGTTGTATAAAGAGTATTAGTTGCAGGACTTTGGAAGTGCTTTGATTTGTACATGCTGTCCGTCGATGGTGCCCAAACACAGCAGGAAGTTCTAAATTCTCCAGAAAACCTGTTGTAATGTTCACCCACTGTATTCCTCAGAAAAACCACGGGCACAGCGCTACAGTCCAATCCAAAAAGTACAAAGTTACAGCCTTTCAGAAACATCCAGTCCTTTTTCTCTGTCTGATATGAGATGCAACGCAACCTTCTGTGCATCAGACCAATGCACAAGTATTGTCATATGAACAGACCTGCATTTGTGTCTGCTGTCCACTTTTTAAAGTCCACAACAGTCATGAATTGGCCTTTAGAGATCCAGTGAAACAGAAGCAGAGAATGATAAATGAAGTCCTTGGCACACACATGCATCAGCCTGCATACTTACCACACAAATGCAGAGACACAGATTGATTACGGTCCATAAGATAACCCAAATACTTCACAATAATCAGAAAAACTTTCAACAGTGCCTCTAACTTTACACAGACATGCTTTTTTCCCAATTTAATGCCAAGTCAGAATAAATTGCGATGAATTTTGTGGAGGCCTGTGGTCTGTCAGGACTCTACATTCTGCTCATGGCCTTTTCAAAGAATAGCCCTCCTGCTTTTCCTCAAATCTGAAAAATTTCACTGCACTTCCTTTAATCTGGCTCCACTCTGCTGGTGTTTTCACTATCTGTGGCTGCCAAGGGGACATTATGTGTGTCTGTAAAATAATAGGCTGCAGAGAGCTGAGACTTCAAACTGACAACAGTTCAGGAAGCTCTGAGTGGACTCTACAGTTGATATGTCTCTTAGGTCTATTACATTATATTATCAGCCAACACTGAGTGCTCCCGTTAAATTACACAGTTTTTCTGTAGCTGCGGGTAATTGAATGAAGCAACCATGTGCAGTCAGTAACTACAGCACACAGATGGTCTTGCTTTGGCTGCTTTCAAGAGAAGATTTTTTAATTACTACGTTATTACTCAGAGATGTAAATGTTAGAGCTGCAGCTACTGTTTGCTTTCACTGTTGGTTCATCAGCCAACTGCAATTAGCCAGAGCCCAACATGACGTGTTTAATCTGTTTGTTTTACAGAATCTCTGCTACAGTCCAACACAGTCTTAGTTTATTTATACACAAGACTAAGAGAAATCCTCATATTTGAGTATCTAAAATGTTTGGCGACAAGTTATTTTATAAAACTAGCTGCCAATTTGGTAAATGTGCTAAATGATTTTTTGGACCAAATCTTCCATTGCCAATAAATTTAAATTGAATTGAGATTAAACAATTTATACTGTATGTATATTTGATTTACTGTTAGGACAAGTTGGGTCAATCTGGGTGTAAGGAAAATGATGAGATCAATGAGAGAAGGGTGTGGTGTACTTTTGAATTAACCCTAAACGTTCGAGCCAACACGTCCTTCTCAAATTGCTCCCATCATCCAAAAAATATATAATTTTATTGTGCTTTATAATCATCAAACAAAGTTCTTGCTGTTAGGGTACGCCACAGTTATTAGCTATGTACAGAAAATAGGAGAATTCCATCTATTACAAGAGAAATGTGCCCATAAAGTTCTTAAATCCACTCCGCTCTCTGTGAGAGGTTGTTTCCTCATCCTGCTTGAGGGCTTTAAAAGTTTTGATCGACACGTCTACGTGAGCTCAAGGTGCTGAGCCGAGGGCTAATCTGGGTTATTATCGTTTAGCAAGCAGACAATTAATACAAGCACAACGGGAGCACAAAGTGGTGATGGAAAAAAACAGCCTGCACTCATTTGCTTTATTGTCAACACAATGCTCTTTTGTTTCTTTCCCCACAGAAGCACAGTGCGTTGTGATTCTTCAGATGTAGTACTTACTGAGGTATTCTTTGAGTACCAGAGTCTGAACTTCAGCCACCTTCCTCTCCCTCTGCAGCAGACTGTTTCCTTGGAGACATGGCAGCGGCTGGAGGATGCTTTCAGCTACTCCTGATCGAACAGAGATAAGTAGTGAATGAAAGAGGGGAGATGATTAGCTCCTACAACATATTGATATTTCTCTAATGGCATCAGGAGCAAGCGAGAGTTCAAGGGGCACTCCAGTGATTTCACACAAAAAGGTCAGTTTACTTTAAATAGTTGCCAAAAAACCTTAACTGAGTGGCTTGAAGCATTCTGGGATTTAACATGCAGAGAGGGTCTAATGAATATTCTGTCAAAGCTTTACATTTTTATACTTAAGTTAGAACCAAGCCACATTTTAGGTTTCTTTTTTGGAAATGACATAAACAAGTGACAAAAGATTGAAAGACAGCATGTGTTTTAATAATTGTTAATAATTCTTGATACATTTGATCTATTTTGAAGTTTTGTCACATTTTTGTACAAATAGCATGTTTCACTAATCAACATCAAAGCCTTTATCTGTCAAACAGTTCCTATAATTGCTAAACAGCTTTCTGCACGTCTTCACTGGGATGTTTTTGGCCACCTTTAACCATTTCTTCTCCAGTGTTGCCCAAGGTTAGGCTTTTCGGCAGACTGCCTGATGTTTTCTTACAGAATTTTAATGTAGTCCTCTTTTCTCATAGTGCTGTGTACTTTAGGAAGGTTACCGGGCTCAAGTGTGACCATGAGGATGGTATTTCTGAACACTTCTCCTTTTTATTCTCAAACCAAAAACACATTCCTGTGTCCAAACAACTCCATTTTTGTTTCTTTCGACCACATCACTAATAGATTAAATCGAAATTCATCATTACCTTCTCTAACATGTCTTTTGTCAATTAATTTTGAAACCAAAACTTGGTATGGATGTGTATAATTTTTGGTGTAACTTTATACCTAAAAAAAAGTCTGGTAACACTTTATAATAACTATCCGTTATAACTAGTTAATAGATCATTTGCAAACTGTTAATTAGTGAGTTATTAACCACTTGTTAAGTGTTTGTTAATAATTTGTTGATGATTTATAACGATGCCTTATGGATAGTTAATAAACCATTTACAAACTGTTAGTTAATGAGTTATAAATGACTTGTTAACTGTATATTAATGATTTACATATTTATATATGTTATTGGGACGTTATTCTAAAGTTGCAACTATTCCTCATTTACCAGCAGTTAATAAATGAGGAAGAGTTGCAACTTTAGAATAACGTCCCAATAACATAAGCTATTAACTGATACTTAACAAGTCATTAGTAAGTAATTCACATGGCTTGTTCATGATCTATGACTGGTTTATAAGGTATGGCTGTAAATCATTAATATACAGTTAACAAGTCATTTATAGCTCATTAACTAACAGTTTGTAAATGGTTTATTAACTATCTATAAGGCATCGTTATAAATCATCAACAAACTATTTACAAACACTTAACAAGTGGTTAATAACTCACTAATTAACAGTTTACAAATGATCTATTAACTAGTTATAACGGATAGTTATTATAAAGTGTTACCAAAAGTCTGAATGCATTAGTACAGTGGGTGTGGAAGTCAGGGGACTTCTGAAGGGTCAAAGGATGAACCCGAAAGGTCAAAAGATAATTTATAACAAACAGAAGTAGACATACAATAATGCCTTTTCCCTGATGCACGTACAACATGTCACAAAGCATTCCATGTTTTAACCTTTTCATTCGTTTTAAGGCATCATAAGTTCAAAAAGTTGACAACCACTGAATTATCAAACAGTGCAATCAGCAACATCAGGCCAGTGCTTCAGTGCGTTGCAGTAAAAACACATGGTTCATTAATTACATTTGAAAGCCCTTGGTAGGCATTAGGGCTTTAAACTCACCCTGAAGCATTTTTCTAGTATAATATACAAAGATGTACTCAGAATTTCATGATTTTGTTCAGGTGCAACAACCCTCAGGTGTGTATATTTTATTGAAAACTCCGCCGTGTCATTGAAGCAGTTAGGGCACCTTTTATAGTCTCACTCTGCATTTAAAAGTATCTAAAGTAAAGAAAAAAACCTGTCTCCTGAAGGTTACATAAAATGTTAACAACAACAGGAACTCTCAGGAGGAAACTTCACTGTAGGTCTCCTGAATCTCTTATAAAGCACAAGAACAATGAAGGACTTTTATCAGAAAAGAAGCTTTTAGTACAGGGAGCCAAACAAACAAAAAAAAGACTTTCATTTACATAGATGTCCGCACATCTTGTCACTTATAACCAGAAAAGTTAGACCCAATCACTGATCTATGCATTCACTCCCTTCCTCATGACCTTTCCTCGCTCTTCTCTTTCTTAGTCTATCCATCAATTGTCTTATTCTAGTGTTAAAAATAAGAAAAACATTAGCAGAGGAATCAGAACTATGCAGCAAAGAAAAAGTAAAGAAAGAAAAGGAGGCAGAAACAGAAGGAGTTTTAATAAAGAACTGCCAGCAGTGTTGCAGAGTTTTTTCTTAAACGCAGACTCGCTGATAAACAATGAAGCCAGAAGGGCTTCTACTCCAATCAAGCTGAGGAGCCGCTTTAAGAGAACAGGGCATTTAGAGGGCTTTTCTTAACAACGTGGCAGATAACAAATGACTGCTAGATGTTCCCAAAACTACAAATATTGATAAAATACTGGAGTGCTCTTTAAATTTGATTACAGATTTGATTACAGTGGAGGTTTGCAAACTGTGTGGTTCCCCTCCCGGAGGTTTTACTGGAGACACACGTGCCATGTTCATATGATAGGGCCCGCTTTGTGTGATTAACTTTGTCGTATGTAAATTAGCATGTGCAAGCCCCTGAGCTGGATTAGTGGCTGCACTTGGACCCCGGTCTTTGTTTAAAGCTCATATTGTTAAATCAATGTAAAGACGGCAGGTCTGGACGTGCTACTCCTGCCGGAAATTTTGGTTTGGTTAGTAAGTGCATGTAAAGCAGCGCAGGGGTTAATTCTGAGTTCTCTTGTTGTTAATGAAGGATAGGTAAGTGGGGTTTTAAACTTCTAGTTGCAAGTCGTCCTTTTGTTTCTATCAGTTAAACCTACTATCCTTCATAATATATTCAGCTTTGGTGTTTCTATGATACTTTTCTTACTCTTAACAGTAAAAATTCCACCACAAATTACCTAAAACAGAGGTCCTATGATAATATTGGACCTGTGCCATGTGATATCTCAGTGATTTGGGGGTTTGACCTATTTCCTCCTCAATATTTATATCGACTGCATTGACAATTATAGGTAAAACTTTGGAGCATTTTAGGTGCAAATTCAAGAGGCTCATGTCGCTCCACGGCCAAGGCCCATTCACTGAATTGTACATGGAGTGAAATCTTGACGATGTTTGCATGGCGGCATACATTAATGAATGTTTTACTGTCTTTCAGCATGCTCAACAGTTAATATGTGGCAAACTATTAATATCACTATTAATATCAGGGGTTTTTCTAGAATAAAATTGTATGAGGAAGCAAAGCGACCGAGCATGGGATGGTGCGGGGGCTGCCCCCCTTCTGCGGTGCGAAGCCTTTGAAAAATTGAAGCTTAAATGGGACATTCTGAGGCTATCCGAGGGAGAAATTTTAGTTCATGAAACTTCATAAATTAAGACATTATCAACTGTTGAGCAATTGTTGTTTGGTTAGAACTGTAACACAACTGTACTCTGTAAACGAAAACATGACAAATACTAGTATTGGCAAAACTTCTATTTACTAGTACTTGGAATGTTCTTACATGCTCGTACTGCACCATGATACACATACATGTACTTTAACCAGTGTAACAGTGTCAGGGAGCAAGACCCTATCATGTACACTAACCTGAGTATAACAAAATGTCATGGAGTAAGACCCTATCATACATGTACACTAACCTGTGCCAGTTTAACACAGTGTGAGGGAGTAAGACCCTATCATGTACACTATCCACTGCCAGTGGTCATACAGTCTTGAGAAATCTCGCTGTGTAGGTCAGCTGACCTTGCATGTAACCTATATGCGAGAGCAGCTAACACCAAAACAATATGGCGCCCCGGCATGGAAAATGCCAATTTCGATTGTTTTTTACTACATTGCGTCACGAGCGTTTAGTGCGACTAGAATCACATCATTCGCGCGAATAACTCGCTCAATTCGCGTAAATCGCACCGCGGGATGTTTACTCGCGTCTAATCGTGTCTTCACATTGACTTTACATGTAAATCATTGGCGCGAATGATTTTGCTCGCGTCTGGTGTGAACACAGGGTTCAATCGGCATTTTGGTAAGAGGGCACAAGCCGGGAGTATGAGGGCGCAGTGCCCCTGTGACATGATTTAGACAAACCTCTGTCATATATGGGAATTATGTATTTTAAGTTCGATTAAAACACAGACGTGGGGGAGTGGTTTCTAAACCACATGAGGTCCACAAGTAATACTAATCCTGTGCAAATAGGGCTTTACCACGTATATGAAGGATACCAGTACAATTAAACACCCAATGAATCCACTTAAGTAAGAATCTTTACGTGTTCAAGATCTCTAAAAGTAAAGTTAAACAATACCTGTCTGTACAACCGTTGGTAAACTGCAAACAGTAACTGCTAATAGCTAATTTGACACACTTCTAATGGTGCAAACATGCAATAGCCAAAGGTATCTTCATTTTGCACTGATGTCAGGCTTTGAAAACCCCGACAGCACAGCATCTGAGAAAAACACAGGGAGTCATCATCTTCACTCCCTCGAACAGGCCATCGGGCCAAAGTTGCTGCGAATTATAACGTTCTATAAAATTAAAGTGACAATAAAACCCTAAAAGTGACAGCGGCTCACACAAAAACACACAAACAGTAGCACATGAATTACCTGGTGGTGACAGGGGCTTCTCTCTCAGCAACCCGGAGACGGTTGCCATGGCAGCCGCTCCATTGATCTGAGTGTCTGAGTGCAGCATCCTGACCCTGCAGGCTCCAGAACCAACATCGTCTGAGCCCTGGACCAACAAAAAGTAGACGGAACTCTCACCTTTCACCTCCACATCAGGCGCTGCAGGGACAGAGGTAACATCCGGAGTTAATACACGACAGAACAAGACGTCCTTATAACATCTACTGCTGTCAGGGTGGTTTTTGTGTTAGATTTTGATTATTTCATCCATATATTTTGAGAAGTTTGCATTGTTAAAGCAGCAAAGGAGAAACAATTAAGAAATATCAGTAGAAAAATAAAAATAATCAAAAACTATACACAAGTACTCGTTCAGATTGGGGAAATTACTTTGAATGTGGGAATAACATTGTGATAACGCACAGAATCAAAAATATATATTGCAGAGAGTTCTTACATGTACTAAATATTCATAATTCACAGGTTTGAATGTGTTCATATTGCACCTTAAAGAAGTAAGGCAGTGCTTCGGTTTGCAGTCTACTGGGAGCAGAGCTGGTATCACACATCATCTCTTAAAGCTGTTGATAAACTGCACTTTATACATAATCCATGCTGTCTTTTTTGCTGCATCAACGAAATTTCCTCAAGGCTGCGGTTTTATCAGCCACATCTTGTTTAATCATGTTTTTTCCGGCAGTGTTTTCCGCATCAATTCAGTCCGAGACTTTACTATCTACATCGGTGCAGTTCTGGCTACTGATTCATTTTCCTACAGAAGATGATGTGGCTCTTCTCTGTGGCTGCCAAAACGGTCAGCCACTAAATGCGGTTCTGAAAAAAATACTGTCTTACCCAGTAAAGACTTTGGTCTCCTGGATAGAGACTCTCTCCAGCGCTGAGAGCTGATCTGGCTGGCTGGAGGCTGGGCGATGGGAGTGATGATACAGGACAGACTGAACAGAGCTCCGACCTGCAGGTTCACACACACAAGATGTTACACAGATAATCCCTCAGTCCCCTGAATGACAGACAAGATTAATCTGACCTTCAATCACTTATGAGCAAGCTTGAGTGCAATTAATTAACATATTTACTGAATTTGAAATTACAATTTCCCAGAGCACAGTTTAGCGGCCGGTACCTTTCCACGCAGTGACCTCAGTTGGTCCAGCAGAAGTTTAGCTTTCATCGACTTCCCAGACAGGCCTCTGTTTGTTAGTTGTGAAGGAACAGTATATAATAAAGACAAAGAGCAGGAACATCCCAGACGTAACAGGAGAAAAGCTGCAATTTTTAAATAGAAACATGTAAAATATAACAGTCAAAGCTGTTTTATTGTTATGTAGTTTGCATGTAACATTATACCATGTACTATCAATAAGGGCTGAACGATGTGGGGAAAACATCTGCTATGCTAGCTACTATTTTACTGACAGACTTTGTGATTACAATTTCATATGTGATATAAATTTTTAGGGCTTCGGTTCATTTTCACTGTGGAATAGATTGAAATCATGTGATGAAGCATTCCTACATGAGATACCAGTGAAAGCGTGACTGTCACGGGGGAATGTTATGGATTCTTAAAACCACTGACATGACAGTTTGAACCCTGAATAATAAACATCCTAAACTGCAGATTTTTCAATTTGCTGATTACGTTGTTTAAAACTGTGGTTTCAATTTGAAATCGATTAACTGCTCATCCCCAGTATCAATATGCTAAATCTAAATATACAGTGTAGCCAGTGGTGAAAAGTGCACTTACTCTTGTACTGCACAAATACAAGAACCATGTCATTTTCAGATGTTTCATACTTTCACTCCACCACATTTCACAAGATGATATTGAACTTGTTTTTTTTTTTTTCAATTAATTCGACCGCTTTCATTATTTTTAAGAAACAACACATTGTTCAAGATTAAACCAACGATTTCCAGCCTTTTTGAAATTTGTTACAAAAAGCCGTGTGTCGTCAGGGTCACATTTCAGATGTTTATAAGATGTTAACAGTTCCACCAAACAAATAGTGATCCAACAGTTCGATTTCAATGAATGTTCAAAGCATCCAATATCTCAACAAAACATCAAAGATTTGAGAAAAAGTACAACAGCTGAAAACAGCTTTATGAATCAGAACTTTATGTTGTCTTCTTTCCTCTCCCACTGTACATCTGAGAACTCGCAATTTTATGTGATGTCTCTGAATATAAAGCTTCACAATCTAATGATGTCACACTGTGTATAATAACACATCAGTCAGAGAGACCAAACCAGCACTGCTACTTGAATAATTTGACTACATTCTGCTGCTCGTATTCATGTACTTTTACCTAAGTAGCATTCTGCGTGGTAAGCTGAGTGTTTACTACTTCTAACAACTTGTTGTGTTAGAACTAGAAATTGTGTTACTTTAGTTCTCTTTTGAAGCATGCACACTCACCCACACATGCACACAAATAGACACACTTCACACTGAGGATACAGTTCAAACTGGGTGCTGGACATCAGGAAGCTGGGCAGGTCTGACAGATGAACCAGCTGAACCAAGTCTAGAACCGGTGCATAGTAATGGAAGACCTGCAAATACAAGACATACAGAGAGGAGACGGAATGAATGGTGTTGTCTCACAGAGCAGCATTTGAAAGCAAAGAAAACACTCGAAAATTACAGTCAAGTGTCCTAAATACTTGATATTGGAGTGATACATGTGTGATGTTATGCAACCAAACACAAAATCTGATCTTTCTTTGTTCCAAATCTTCTGTGGAAGCATCACAATAACAACATTTTGGTTCAGTTACACATGTCCACATGTCTGAAGAAAGAAGAGGAGAAAAAAAACAACAACAAATAACTAAGGACAAAATGTTTGGCTGGTTTCCTGAAATGATTCACATTCTCCATCAGGAAGAGTTAGGTCCTTTACACACTGTTGCTCACATTAAAAAAAAAGACCTACATTCCAACAGTCTGCAGTTGTCCCACTTATTTAATGAGCTCATTTTATTATGAGCAAATCAATAATATATAAATCATGTGTCACGTGAAAAACAGGTCATTTGTTAATACAAAAAATTACAAGAATACCAAGGAAAGTAATACATTTCAGTCTCATCATTTATTGATCATTGACCTGTTTAGAATTTAGCGTATATGAACATTTTAATGATCCCCGTGTGAAATTCCAGCTTCTGGAGAAAGTTGGAAACGTTTATTAATACTTTGTCCAACTCAGTGAAGACTGACTAATGCAGTAGGCGGAACACAGTTCATTAAGACATCCAATATTTAATTGCCCTTATTACTTACAATCACTTGAAAACACACTTTGTAATTGTGTAAAATTGCATATTCCTGTGGTGGAAATGCTCCAGCATGCTTACGATCTGGGTGATTCACCATGTAATTACGGCAAAGCCACTTTGTTCTTATTGCTGTGCTATGTTCATGTCCCAAGTACGTCTCGCTGTGAATAACCGAACTGTTCATTAGCTCATTGTTAGATTGTGCACGAGTTCTCTAAATATAGCAGGTTACTGTGAAGGTGCAACACTCGCTCTACTTTCACAAAAACAACGGAAATCTTAACTTTATTGGGGAAATTTCAAACAGCTCTTGCATAAATATAATGCAGTGCAGTGCACTCCCACCTTAATAATAAACATAAAGGAAATTCTTCACCTTTCCGACAACATGAACAAAAACTGAAAATGGAGAAGCTTCATAAAAGTTGAACTAATGAGTTGTTATGTTGGGATGCATTCGATTTTACATGTGTACCAAAGTGTATTTTGAGAAAGTTTAGAAAAAAATCTGGAGGCGTGTAGCTACTTAAAACATTCTCTGGTTTGAAGTTGCGAATACAGATTCACATTTAAATGCAACTAAATGTAATGATGCAGCTTCTACAACTCATCTCTCGACAAGCAACACGGTTGAGATGGAAGGTAGCTACCCCACCCACACATTCTGAAAGGCTTGAGAGCAAAACGTCTTGTCTGAAGCCTGAGAAAATTCACTATGGTATAAATAGAACTGCTAAAAACATTTGAGAGTCCTTTCTTACTCTCAGAGCTCCTATGCATCGGAGTATTTGGAGCCGTCACTGACTTCTTGCACTTTATTCTGTTACAAGACTCCAAAATATAACTCACTTGTTCACTGTTATCACATCTGTAATGTGCGTAAAGACTGAGAAGGAAAATGTCTTTAAAAACAAAAAGAAATCTTCCACATTTTTATGCCTGTTTAACAAGTTTGCACAAAAATGTACTTCATATCACTGAAGTTAGGGGTCAACAGGTTATTGGCATGGTTTATTATTATTCCCAAGGTGTGCCGAGGACAATGGGCGGACTTAGCACAGGATTTCTGGAGAATTTAGAACTTCCCGCCAGTGGAAAGCAAAAGAAAGCACTTCCAAAGTCTAGCAGCAACTACGTCAATTACAAGTATTTAAATGATGAATTCTAGTTGAATTATGGTAAATTAGTTGTAAGCATAATTTGTTTTTAGCGTACAAAAATTTACATTAAAAAAACATGAACTGGCCTTAATGCGTCACAAATGATAGTCGATCAGTGCTGAAGGATAAATGTTGAAAAGCTCTTATGTAATTTTTGGAAGTTAGACAGTGTCTGAGAGTCTCATTTAAAATGCAAAACTTTCGTATATAAAACAAACAAACAAAGGTATTTCAACAAAGTTCTGTTCTGGAGTTTATGTTATTCTAAATTTTGACACCAAGATTTTCATCTTTACTGCAAATGTATATTGGTTCCAAATATCATGACTAATACTCCATCGACCTCCAACTAAAACAACATCTTATATTTCTATGTACAACATGAGCATCTGTTGCTTGTTACTGACAAAAACTCAGATGACATTCCCACCACTTTCACTGCAGGATAAAGGACGCAGGAGTTTGTAAAGTCTGCAGATTTCAGACGACTGTTTAAACCCTCACACAAAGTTGAGGCTCTTACTCGCTGGACAAACATGGTGGAGGCTCTCTTAAAAAGGACACTCAAAGAGATTGAATGCCACCATTTGAATATGTTGTAGAGCAGATGGATCTGTCTAAAAGAATATTCATTTTTCTCTGATATAAAGCTGCCTGGCTAATAAAATAAAGGTTTCAGTGGCAGGAGCCAGTGGATTCAGCTAAATATACTTTGAAATTAGTAAAACAGATGCACGATGATGCCGATTCTGAGAAGCTCCAGTAAAAACACAATGGCTGCCATTTAGTCTGTGGGAATTATAATGTTACACTTTGTCTTGGTATTGTAAGCATCACTGTAGAATCCATCTTTCTCCCTGCTAGGGATAAAAAAAAAAAAAAAGGAGTTCATGACAATTGAATGAACACCCATGTATCACTAACAGACAGTAGATAAGTGAGCATCCACTTGACCTCCTGATAGTAAAGTCTTCAACCCTGTCCTTTTTTAAGAGTTAAGATTTGTTTATGTAATGATGTTACTGTCTCAGTGTTATCTGACATTTACAGTAAGTTGGCTTTATCCTGTTTATGTAAAACCTTGAAACCAAGGGAAAGAAAATGACCTTTCTCAGCATTAGTGACCTGAAGGTTTCATTTTGCAGAGTAAAGGCCAAACATTCAAATCAGGGAACATAAAGTAAGACACACTTCTGATTGAAGGGGACTTAGTGTAATGTAAAGATGGAATGTGATCACCTTGGGTCACTTTTAGTGCGTTATCATCACAGACAAACAATCATGAAATAAGTCCTAGCTGTTTATCTGCTCAGATGACACGACCTGCTTAAGCACAGTGAGGCCTCCCTGTCCTTTGAGGCTCAGGTCATCTGTGGATGTACAGTCAAAGCCCAAAAGCATGCAAAAGTGATACAATATTTACCAAAAATTTAAAATCTGAAATTGTTGCAATTTTTAAAAAAAAATGCTCTTAGTATTGTTTTTTCATGTTTTGGAGCGTTCTAATTTACTATAAACTGAGAACAGCTGATTTAAGTCATGGCCAAAACCAAAACGCTTCGTGAGGTGCTGGTAGGATTGGTTACTGACAGAGAGCTAAACAGAAGACGGAAAAAGGCCGTAAAGTCATATCCAAGTGTTTTCAAGCGTAAACTATAATTAGATAATAAATTAGTCCTTGAAGGGCTGGTAGGAAGAAAGTGTAAGAGGGAAAGAGTCCAAGGATCACCACATATGGCATACAGATCAAGCAATTCTTTTACCAACATCTCAAGGCAGGTGCTCCAGCAGATACTCCAAGAGGCTCAAAAAAGCTTGCCTAGCCCAGTTGTTAGGATACAAGGATGTGATCAAAGAAAAGGAGAAGTATTCTAGCTCAAGAGCACTATCCAAAGGGTAAAAAAAAAACACGATGCTCTGGAGGCATCATGAGAAAAGAGGACGGCATTAAGACTGCTGTGGAGGAAAACATCAGGAAAAACCTGGACTTGGGCAGCATTGGAGCTTCCAACTAGACAATAATCCTAAACATGTAGCCAAGAAACCAACCAGAGTCCAGACCTGAATGCCGTCAAGAATCTGTGGAGAAAACTGAAGACCACAGTGATCAAAATCCCAGTGGAGACATGCAGAAATCTCGCTAGTAATTATTGGAACCGTCTCATTACTGTAGTGTCAAATAAAGGCTTTGACATTGATTACTGAGATCACTCATTTTGGACATGTCATTTTTACTAAAACATCAGCAACAGCTGTCCATCTAACACAACGACTTATCATCTTTTGTCTCTTGCTTATGTCATTTCCAGCCAGAAGGAACCTGACGGTCAGATAAAATTGACTATTGATCTAAGTCTGTCGTGGGTATGAATGACTTTAGGCTTAAGTGTGTGTTAGTAATTATCCTGTCAGTTCCTCCTGACAGTGAGGAGGCCCTAATAGTCTTTGTCTGAGCATACTTTAGACTGTGTTCGTGTGTCTGAGTACAAGTCATTATACTGTCATTTATCCCAGCAGTGTAGAGATGTGATAGTTTTGTTGTCCCCCGAGTTGTTTTTTAAATTTTGTGCCAAAACAATCATCGCCATCTGCTTCTCTGTACAGCGATCTGATGATATCACACACACACACACACACACACGCACACACACACACACACACTCTGTCTAGCTCTCCGTGGATGCATAAATGAGTAGCAAACACAAACACACCTAAACTGTGAAACTCTGCTGTTTGAACTGAATAATGAGCACACAACAGCACCAAAACATACTATCTGTTGCCAGCCACAAACTCAAACGGCAGAAGATGGTTTAGACAAACACAAAGCACATATAGAAAATGAAAAAGCCACTCTGTGTTATTTGTCTTGCCGGAAGAGCTAATGCTTCTTTTAGTTTCCTTAGTGTGTACATCAGACACCCTTCTAACCGCCTTTATTGCTAATCCAATTAATGCTAACAAAAGCTGCCAGGGTGCATGTATAGCCCATATCAGACCGTAAATTGCTGGACGCAGCTCCTGTGTGGGTTTTACTGTTGTGCATATTAATCTGCATGAGAAAACTCATTACTGAACTCTACTATGTAATATAATAACAGTTATAAAAGACCTTGTGGCTCTCTGCAAATCTTTAAACTACACATGATCAATACCAACAAACACAGCCGCAGAGCAAAATTCTCCATAGAAAAAGAAAACATCCTCCGATTACAACAGCTAGCCAAGGGTTCTATTATTTCTGCTCTCAAAGATAAGTTCCTATATAGTTCTAAGGATACAAATCGTCCCTGAGTTGGCGGTTTGTTGCAGTGGCAAAGTGAAAAGTGGAGAAAAATTCAGCAATTTAAAAAAAAAAAAAAAGACAAACAACAACCTCATTGTTATCTAACTAACAACTACAGTAACTGAATGTCAGTATATTTAGATTTACAGCTTAAAAGGTGGAGTCAGTGGTTTTAATTCAATACACTTTTTGTCAAATTCAGTGAATATTTCCTCACATTTCACTAGCTGAAGAAAATCTGGTGTTTGTATACAAGTCTGGCTATGTAAATGAGAAATAAGGTATCTCAGACTGTATTCCAAGCCCTTTTAAGTTTAAATAATAGCAACACTGGCTACGTTTCTCATAACAGAGATCTACAATCTCACTGTAGCTTTTCGGTAGCAGCATGTTGTAACAGATAACTTCATTAAAATCCCTCCTCAACAAAATATGGAATGCAAAATCTGGCAAAGGATGAAAAGCTGATAAAAGAACAGCGAAACATTTCCCACAGTGAACCTCTTGGACACTGCGCTACCTTGATGAGATAATAAATCCATATTCTACTGCCGCTTTCTTGCTGCAAGGTCACGAGACGTACGAGAGGTTAGCACTCATTTGGCAGACAAAATACACCTGATTTATCTGACTGATGGTCCTTCTGTCACTTCTTCCACAGTGAGATTAAAGGGCAACCAGGAAGTGACCTTTTTTGAACTCATCATCTTCCAGCCCCCAGAAATCGTCTGTGTGGAGCTCATTCTATTGTAGCGCTCTGAGGTAAGATGGGAGTAAGTGGGGTTAAAAGAACAGCTCTACCCTAAGCAAAAATCCAGTCATTATCTAGTCATTCTGTCAATCAAAACCTTCCCTGAAGTCTGTTTGAACACACACAGAACTTAATCATAGCCTCTTTTCATACGCCACAGAAATGAACAACTCTCCAACACATTACTTTTCAACACAAAATGTCTTCGCTGACAATGTTTGGATCGAGTGCGAACCCTGCAGCTCTCTGGCAGAAGACTCTGCTCGCTCCTGTGGGGCAGCTGCTGGCATGTTGGAGGACAAATCTTTGTCAAAGAGGACAAAATTATGAATTATTCAACTTTTGGAAGCACAAAGTGTAACAAAATCGTGATTCAGCCTGATCACAGGCTTGAGACGATAACCACATTCCCAATTCGGTGTGAACTGTTCCCATAAGTTAACTTTGAGCCTGTCTGAAGGTAATTTCAACAAAAGGTACAGTGATGTGGAAATTTTAGGAGACGGCGCAGGACTCACCTCAGACTGCAGCTGGTGGTCCGTGGTGGTGGTGAAAGGAGTTTGCAGGAGAAAAGACTCTGATATCTGATGCACTGGAGAGCGCAGAGAAAAGCCATCGAAGCGAAGTTCTGACACATGCTGGGACAAACGCACACAGAAGGAGGGAAAATGATGAATTACTCACAAACTCTCTCAGTCAGTGCAACTTCAGATAGAAATTAACTGTTGTAGCCCATGCAACATCAAAGTGTTCAGCCTCACTCAGATTGCTACTTACATTACAACACATCCTGCAGCTAGCGAGTGATTTTTCACATAATAACTTAAAAATAGTCATGTTGTGTTGGTATCACGTGGCTGTATAGTTGAAGGTATGCACACACGAACACACACATTAGACACATAGTACATGGCAGAATAAAGTGACGATGGTTGTTCTCAGACAAGCTTTTATTCCTTTGAGAGTTCTCCTTTGTTCCAGCTCTCCCCAGCTGTGAAGCTTTTACTGACTGACTGCTGGAGCCCACGAACTTCTGAAGGCAGCAACTCAGAAAAGGTCACTTTAGTGAAGGAGAAGCTGCTGGCTTGTCTCAGCAGCAGAGAACAAAAATGACTGCACAGAACTTCTGACAAGCATGCAGTGGTGTAGTCAGTTCTCTAGGATGGGAATTCAACAGTTTAGAGTTTGGGATGGTCGAACATTGAGGCAAAATTAGAAAATCAGATCACAAAAGATTTGTTTTATAACGCAATGGAAAATTCAACAATTGATTATTTCTTGTCAAGATCTGTGTTGAATGGGACATTTTACAGATGAAAATTTTTATTTTATCGCTCTCTGGTGGACAAAGAAACTGCTTCAAATCCTTGGTAATTTTGCACAGTAATTTGTTTATGCTCATCTAACATACAGGACAGTGGCTCAGCTCTTTAGTGTTGTGTAGTCGCTGAAGGGAGAATGGGATTTGGTCAAGTCCACATGTGTTTAGATGACTTGGAGAAGGCCTTCGACTCTGTGATGGGTACTGTGTGAGTACAAACCATCCGGTCCAAAATCAGAGCAGTATTTGTACAATCACGACTTGTTTGTAATGTTCATGCACAGGATCTTAAGGTGCAGCCGGGGTGAGGAGGCTGTCCACACTGGGAACCTCAGAGTTGCACCTCAACTTTTTGCAGATGATGTAGTTCTGTGCATTGGGCTTGTTTGCAGCAGAGTGTGAAGCAGGAAACTGGTGGATTGCTCCCTCTGGGTTGGAGCCAAATTGCTGCCCAAAGAAAAGGAGTATATGTATTTCGTGATCTTGTTCACTAGTGTTGAGAAAGTGGAGCCCGAGATGGACAGTCAGGTGTAGAATCAGTGGCAATGCAGCCGTCATACCAGGCTGTCGTGGTGAAGATGGAGCTGAGCCAGAAGGCAAAGTCTCAACTTACTAGTCAATCTATATTCCAACCCTCATCTATGAGCTCTGGGTAGAACCTGAAAAAATGAGATCATGGATACCAGAGGGTAAAATCAGTTTCCACCGCAACATGGTGGGGCTCATCGTTAGAGATAGGATGAGGAGCTCAGACATCCGGAGGGAATAGAGCCTCTGCTTCTTTGCATCGACGGCTCCCAGCTGAGGGGGTTTGGGTATTTGATTAGAAGGCCTTCTGGGTACCATGCTTTGGAGATTTTCTGGGCCTGACCAGTTGGGAGGAGACCCACGGTAGATCCAGAACACAGTGGAGGGATTTAGATATCTTATCTGGCTTGGGAACGCCTTGGGATCCCCCAGGAGAAACTTGAAAACGTTGCTGAGGAGAGGCACATTTGGAATTCCCAGCTTAGCCTGCTGCCACCAAGATCTGACTCTGAATAATTTATCTTATCCTAATAAGTGGAAGAAAATTAATGGATGGATGTATAGCATACAGTATAAAGGATAAGCTAATATTAGACACTATGTTAGCCGGGGAGACTTACTGGTGAGGCCCTAGTTAGTTCTAGTTCATGTCTAGTTTTCCTATTTGTGCAAACAATCCAAAAGGGCTGGATCAACCAAAACCCACTGAAGACTTAAAGCTCCTTCAGAGTGATGTTAAACACGCATTGCCATCTAGCAAAACGCAGGGCTCTTCAGTTCTTTAAAAGATGATTTTAAAGAAATTTGAGGCTCTAGCCTGTCACCGACAAAACACGCTCATTTTGACATTCTTTACAAAACACGCATTAAACATCAAGACGTAACTTTGGAGCAGTTTCACGTTAACTCAGCTGTACATCAGTGTTTACTATCATTCTAAAATGGCAACTGAAAGTCTCGGGCGGATTTAAAAAAAAAAAAAAAAAACAACACCAGTATGAAACATGCAGGGAAACGCCACTGTGAAACAGATTGCTGATTCTCCCCAGAGAGCCATGAAAGAATTGCACAAAATTGGCCACTTCTGTCCAGAAACGGAAAACTAGTGAACCTGCCAGAGTTTTCCCACATAATAAAAAATAAAGACAAGTGGGCATGAAGTAATCTCCAGAGGAAAAAAATGCTGTCATCTCACCTCAGTCTATTGACTTTGCCAACAAACTGCTGTTACCTGCAGGAAAACAGCTAATTAAGTTCAATGCATGTCCAAAGGTATGTGGACACGTGATCATCACACCCGTATGTGGCTGTTAAACCTCCACTCAAAAATAATGGGCATTAATCTGCTGCTAGAACAGTGTATTCGAAAGGTTTCTCACAAGATTTTGGATCCTGACTGGAGGGATTTGTACTCCTACTGTAACAAGTGTATTAACAAGTTTAACCTAACGTTGTCGGATGGGGTTGATGTCAGTTTTTTTGCGCAGGCCAGTCGAGTTCTTCTGTACCAAATTAACAAAAATATTTCTTTATGGAGCTTTCTTTATTTGTAGACAGGGTAAGTGGCTCAAGAACACTAATGTCTACAGTATATTTATATGCTATAACACTGACATTTCCTTGAGTTGAATATAAGTGGCCCAAACAAGGCCCCACATACACACAAGTATTTGTGTACAGGTATCTACATTCTTTGGCCTGGTTTTCTATCCATATAGTTAGGTAAATGAAAATGAAAAAATGGCGAATGCACTGCACCTGAATTGCATTTTTTAACCTCAGTTAAGGTTTAGGTTTAGCGTCTTGCCCAAAAACACTTTGGCATTTGGAGCCTCCATCCCTGTAAACAGTGCACATCCCACTGTGCCATCGGACCCACAGCAGCCCTGCAAACAGATGCTACAGAGAGCCAAAGTTTATATATGAAAAAAATATTTGCCAAGTACGCTACATAAAATTAGGTTTATCAGCGTAAAAAATAAGCACATTCTCTGCTCTGAAACACTGGGTGCAGATCGACAGCTTTCGGACCAGCCCAAATCAGACCAGGCCAGTTCATTTCTCTGCCAAACAAGTTAGATGTGAAACCACAAATGCACACAGTCTTTGCTGCTGTGGACTAAGTTACCTATTATAATAAATAGTGCTTTAGCCTCCAAGTTGACTGGTCGATTGATTGGTTGATTTGCTCTCATCTGACCAATGACAGCTGGGTCAATCAGCAGTGTTACTCTCATAAGGAAAAAGTACTAAATCATTATCAGATTTAAACAAGGACACAGAGCTACTTTGTAAAATGCATTTGGGGGATGAAGGCAAACTGTAGGCTTCAGTAGCTCACGGCTGTTACTGTGCTATGGTAGTGGTCCGACAGAGTTTGATTCCAGTGTATCACTGAGCAATGGTTTTTGGCCCTGCGAAAACAACCTGAACACAAAAATGATTAAAAAAAAAAAAAAAAGAAAGAAAAAAAAAAGGAGTTTATTGCTACAATCCAGGGCTACATATTAGAACCCTGTGTGGTACTGTTTTCTTAATCCCAACATTACTATCCATTCTCACAATGCAGGTTCCACTCAAAACATGTGATTTTACTGAGTGGTATTAATAAAGAGATGCAAACCTGTCAGTAATATTGGATATTCTATGGCAGTAACATTTCATACATTTCTCTGTAGTATCTTGTTTAATATGTGCAGGAAGAAGTGCTTTAACTCTGAAGGAGGGCTTACTTTGACCCAGGGGATCAGAGCAGGTGTCAACCCAAAGGAGTCAGATTTGAGCCTATTTTAGATGCATTCCTTTGCAAGTTGCTGCAACAAAGTCCCGTTCTTTTCCATTTTTGTCTGGGGAAGGTATGCAAATGTCAGATTAGCCCTGAACTGTATTTCTATTGTAACAACCTTTTTTTTAAACGTCTTCTTTTTAACTTCTTTCGTTGACTCCATCCTGCTGGTTAATCCTGGGACCGGCAGTTTATTTATTTTTTTGTGTGCCCACAGCGTAGGCAAAACCACCTACTCCTGCGAAACGTGTGTAGGTTGTTGTTCCCAATCTTTTCGCTTCTTTTCAGCAGGTATATTCTAAAATGTATAATGTGTTGAGAAGCACACCTATGGATGTGCTAGACTTTAAACTCCTAAATAAAGCAGAGAACAGTGCTGTAACATCATGTCACTAAATATAGATAGAAATGGTCCAGAGGCAGAAATGAGGCCCAATAATCGATCGCAGCCAACTTCTTTGGGAGCGAGGCAGGGTCAGCTCTGCTAAGGCGAAGCCAGCGAGATGGAGCCATTTCCCATGACCCCTCAATGACCTCCAGTGATTCCTCCAGATTCATTCAGCAGCAGAGGAGAACTTATCCCTCAGTGAGTCAAAGATTCACTCAAATTAAAAAGAAATACGTTAAAAAAAAAATTTACCCTGTGGCCTTGTGTGCACTGCATGAGTAATTTCATATGAAAAGGATAAGAGAACAAACGCTGAGGCATGAATCGAGTCTCCAGACCATGATTAGCCCTGGTACAGAGGCTTCTTGAGAAAACACTGTGTTGTGCGGCCAGCTTGCTGTGTGCTCCAGCCTACAGAAAACACTGCTCATAATAAAAAAAAGCTCTGGGCAAACAAGCTGGTAAGTTCAAAAGGACAAAGCTCTTTCTCATGCCCTCTACAGTGCTGGTCCAGGACGCACACATTCATACAGACTCAGAGCTGATAAGACAAAATCAGCTTTTCCTCTCCACAGCTTGTACCTAACACACAGCTGTTTCCTTCATTGCTGCACAAAGACTTACGGATAAATCTTTGCTGTCTTCTCTTTGGCAGGCAAAACAGCACCCACATACCCACTTCTCTAAATGTCTTAATTTTGCTGTAGCTGAAAAACCGCTGCTATCACACTGCTGGAGGCGTGCGCAGTCCGTCCACACAATCATCTTGAAAGTCCTTATTCTTCCTCTCTCTAATAAGCCGGATCTTTTGGTCCCCCACAGCTCTGTGTCATAAGACCAGTTCTGCTGCGTTTGTACCAATTACACAGTTTTATCAGCAGAAACTTATACTGCTGGGCAGGTCACGGTGCGCCGTACATGAGGCCGTGAGTTTAAGTAAAGTTTTCTTGTTTGTATCCGCTTCCTTCTCCATCTCTCCACACAAAGCACAGAAGAAATATGCAAAATAAATTATGCAAAAAGAGCTGTGTCCTGAATGTTTCTTTCACCCCCCCACCAGTTTCTGAGAACATTAAGCTGCCAGTGTGTTCTATCAGTGGAGCTGCAACGATTAAACGATTAACTAATTAGCTGCCAACGACAATATTTTGGCTGATCGATTAATCAGAATGTTTTAAAGAAAAAAGGGTCAGAATTCTGGTTTCTTAAATGTAAACATGTTCTTGTTTCTCCTCTATAACAGCAAACTGAAAATCTTTGGGCTGTGGACAAAAACCATTTGAGAAAAACTGATAAGCTTTTTTATTTTTTATTTTTTTACCATTTTCTGACATTTTATTGATAAAACAACTGAGACAATAGCCAAGTATGAAAACAACCCCTGAACTCCAGCAAGAGATTTCTTGTTTTGCACTCAGAAGCAGCTCTATTTGTTGACCAATCAAATAGCTTCGGAAACCACCTCTAAACCTTTCTCGTTCGGAGGAGGGAGTGCTCAACAATTTCCATAATGAGTTCCTGAAAGTGACAATCCAACATTTACTCTTTGATCGCCAGAGCCTGAACTTCTCTCTTCACTGCTGTTTTTTCCTGATACAATCTATTCTGCCACTTTAATGTGTACAGCTGTGTGCAAAACAGCAAACTTGTCTTGCTGGGGAGCCAGGCTGCAATGAATGATTATTTTCACTGTCAATTAATCTGGTAATTATTTTCCCAATGAATCTATTAGTTGTTTGGTCTAATAAATGAAAAATGGCAAACAGGGACATTTTCCAATGAGTTGTTTTGCCTAAAACCCAAATATATTCAGTCTACATTCACAGAAGAGGGGAAAAATGTGAAAACATGCAAATTTTAAAAGAGGGAATTAGAGAATTTAGACTTTTTTTTTTTTTATGTAGTCAACATGATTAAATAATTATCAAAACTTGACAATTAGTTTAATAGTAAACAACTGATGAGTTACTTGTTGCTGCAGACATATTCACACCCATCCCTTACCTTCTTCTCTCTGATAACAAGGCCTCCTCTCCACATCTCCCTGTGGTCGATGCAGCTGTCAAGGCCGGCGAGTTCGACCAGACCGGCGCTCAGGGAGGAAGCTACTTTCTGCCACCTGAATGAACAAAACAAGGATGTTTCAATGACCTTAGGTGACTTTATTCCCTCAGCTCTGATTCTTGCCCGGTTTTCAGTTTCACAGCAAAGTTTAAAAACAAGTACAGCAGCAATAAAAAACATGAGGGATTGTGTTCTGTTGTTATTTTGTCATTAAGAATGCTTCTGTACAAATGTGCCTCAGACTACTCATCCATTACTTCAAGTCAACGCCTGCTCATATTTATTCATCTAACTCCCCCTAGTGGGCAAACTGGGATCATTTCATTCACACGTAACACAAACTGACAATTCTCACAAAAATGCAGTATTTCTTTATGTAACACAACACTGTCCAAAACAACACGTTAATAAAAATGCACAAAATTTAAATGTCTGTGTACTGTGCTTGGACGTATATTCTGACCATGTCCACTTAATATACTGAAATTTCATGTTAGATTCGTTATTTATTTATATAGCGCGTGTATTTTTCGTCTGCTCACCCAGTAGTGTGCTGTGTGACTATGGTGATGTTAGCAGCGTGCCAGCAGGACATGTGTTTCAGGGCTCCCAGCAGAGGCAGCAGGTCTTTAACCGGAGGAGACTGTTCAGCAGAGCCCAGCATCAGAACGTCCAACAAGGCTTTACCTGAGGGGAGAAAACAGGACAAACCAAAGAGGACTTAATTAGAGTTTCTGTCCTCTCCCTCTAGCTTTTTTTCCCCTCCACAAATGTCTCTGTAGGATTTCAAGTGGAGTCAGTTGGTCAACACATCAACACCATCTTTTTAACAAGTAGGCAGAATTACTTGTTTTCAACTCAAAATTTCAGAAGAAACGCCAGAAATCAGTGGTGGTTCCAGCTCCTCAGGGCAGCTAGTGTTGGAGAGCAACTGCTCTCTCTGGAGGTGGTGTGCCGAGAAATGTTCTTTTAACAAAGTAAAACATCACTTCAGGTGGGAGACTTGTTTAAAAAATTCTTTCAATGGTGAGTGCATATTTATGCAGTACAGAAGTTAACTTTTTCTACACAGCAGGCAGATTTTCAGAAACTAATTGCTTGAAATCGGGGCTCTTATAACACAGTCGAGAAGTTTTAATTCCTTCTTATAGGCAGCTTATTGCTTCGACAAAATTCTCTCTTGAGACATTGTTTTGTGCACTAAACTTGCTGCTTTATCAGTAAACTAGACAATTGCTGCTCTGCTTGTTAATGCAAAATGTCAGTAACTGACGAGCCGTGCTATAGAGGTGATCACAAGAGCGTGAATCATCTGAGAAGCGGTGTGTGATAGCATTTTGGATTCAGCACCAAAGAGATAAAAGTTGTGCATTTGAATGAATTTACATAAACTGGAATGAGTTCTGTGAAAGCTCCACTGAGAACACAGTTAACACCTTCACAAGCACCGGCGACAAAATGATAACATGAAGCTAGTGTATGTAAGGACGGGACAGCTATGGATGGGGGAGATGTACCTGGAGGTGGCAGCTTGTCTGACAGCAGATGCAGTCCTTCTGCAGCCTCCTCCACCAGCCTGTTCAATGACGACATTCAAAGGAAATCAACCGAAATGTCACATATGCACTTTGATTCTTTGGGACACATGAATAATATATTCTTCGTGAGATCTTTTTCACCATTTATTTCTCTTTTTCACTTGTACATTAGCAAAATGATCTTAAAATCAACCTCCTGATACAGCTACAGAAACAATATAATAGTTAGAATATGAATTTGCTATTTTCTATTAAATAATTAAAGGGGAATCTTGGCATCAGGAGGAGAAAATATAATCAGTAACTCACTCTGTCAGTGTCGCCTGATCAACCTTTTGGTCCGATGCCTCCAGATTACTGAGACATTCCTCCACAGCAGTCAGCTTCTCCTCCTCACTGTCACTTTTCTGGTGGCCTGTTCCCAACTCTTCCCAGTCAGAGCTGCAAAACTACAAAACAAGAGACACACATTTAGATGTGAATGCTAAAGCCCCCTTTTTCCTTTATATGTGTATCAGCAGTTTTAATTACAAAATCCTTGCTCCTTAGATGCCACATGTCCTTCTGAGTCTGAGTGAATTAAAAAGGATAAACATTACATGAAATTAGCTGGTGAGCATAAATGGATTAAACGTTTCATTGGCATGCAGATGTGATGGATGGGGCACAGTGCGTTTATGGTTGATGTTAGAACAGTCCTGTGAAGGTGTGTGTTTTGTCATTTTGCAGGCAGTTTGCAGTGCATCATGACTTTAGTAGCTTTTAGGAAAAAACACTGACACTTGACTTATCACTGTTCAAGGACAAAGATGAACAAGCAGAATCGCAGTGGTGTATTTTTAGAATGACTGAAGACACAAACCCAACAACAGCAGTGGTTTGTATAAATCATTCTACCTATTTCTGTACAGCTGAGGAAGATTGTAAAAATGTTAGCACTTGTCCACATTTATCTCCTATTTCACAAGAAATCACAATCACAATATGCCAACTTGCTGCTGACTTAATACAACTGGGTAGTTTATTAGTCTTTCATTTACAATTTAATTTTCAGATCAGAGGCTTTTTGTTATCTCTGGACATCTGTTGCGTCACACATGTCATAAGGTTGTATGCACATACACTGTGTCTATGTCTCAGCTGTGTTGAACCTCGTCTCACCTGTGTTGCTCCTTGACAAGCCTGAACAGCAAAGTACCACCTCTGAGCCGATGGGCTGCCACTAAGAGAACAAGCTGGAAAACACACAGTGAGAAACAGGTTAGCGAAGTTATGAAATAACAACACCATTTGTGTGGAAGCCAGACGGGGACAAAGATGTCCACAGTTGTATGGATTTTGCAGAAGTCTCCAATCCACTATTAGGTTTGTTGTTTTAGCAAGGATACAATAAGCACAACCGGAAAAAAAACAGAAACATTTACACAATATTAAAAATACAAAACAATTCAGTCCAAAATGACTTCTATAGAATTCAATCCCTATTTAGAGTAACAGCAGCTTGTCTTTGTCTGTCTTTTATTTTTTTCTTGGTCCAGATGATCCCATACAGTTTCTATACTATTCAGGTCTAGACTCTGTGAAGTTCAGTCCATCGCTGTCAGCAATTTAAAAGCACTTGTTCCTCTCACATATTGTTGACAGCTGGCTTAGTACACTTTGATTCATCACTCCACATGACACTTTTCCATTGACCTTCACTCCAATCTTTGCTACCCTTCCACTGAGGCCATTAAGGCTCAACTTGGCATCAAGATGAAACTGCCAGATGCTGAACAAGTTCTTTTCTAAACTTGCAGTCTGCTGCTGTTACAGTTTGCTTGGCCTTCTACTCGATTCTGTCAAGCTTGAAAACCACATCTTGAGTATCCAGTTTGTTTGCTGATTTGCCTTTGAGAGTAGCCTTGTTGATGCTAAATTATGCTATTGTGTCTGTCAGATTGTGTATCTCTGGCATGTTGAATGGAGCGATGTGCCTGAAACTTGATCTTATATAATAGCACGCGTTCAGTGAGTTAAACACTTACAATGTAATGCTCATCACTAAAAAAAACAAAAAAAAAAACAGAGATGGACTAACTTGGGATAATAGGAGAAGCAGCACAAGCAGTCAAAAGTCAATTTTGGACATGATCTCCAACACAGTTACTACAATACACCAACAGACAAGTGCAGTAAATCTCATGTTTGCCCAATAAAGTTGAAGACATGTCAAGTGCAAAGGAAAGTTCAGCCTGTTAAAATAGCGTTTTTATGATTATGTATTTGTTTTTTATACTGTGCACATCATTTCTGTACATTAAGGTCGTATCATGGTACAGAGACTGACAAATACACACTATGGTCAGTCTAACTTTACTAAAACAACAAACCTAACGGGGACTCCTGTCAGAAGTTACTGTACCTGGAAACCCAGAGACGCCTCTCACGGACTCTTGAGCTGAGATGTCCACAAGTTTGTCATATATCTGTTTTACTGGCTCCAAACCTGCAAACAACAACAACTGAGCTGTCAGGCTTCAGCACAACTGGATTTATTTAAGACTGAAATACACATCAACAGCACTTTGTGTATTAGCATTGGATAGCAAAACATTGATGTCTAAAAAAACAGTGCATGATACTAACATCTATCAAAGTCCTGTCAGTTAATATTCCTGATCCCCGTTTGTTTATTGTAGAATAGCATGGTATGAGAACAACCTGAATTGTTTCCAAAGCAAAGAGTTATTATAAGTCTGCACACTTTTTAAGCTAACGGCTAAATACACTTGGTTCAGCAGCGCTAACTTTAGCAAACTAAAGTGTTTCGAAGTCGATTAAAACTTACATTTAAAACAGTCCGACGTCTCCTCATCAGTTTGGTAGAAGGATATAACCAACACGTAGCGGTCCATGTCGTGTATACATGCGTAAATGCACCGGTAATGTTAATTTGTGGAGGTATATCGGTTAGTTGAAAACAACAACGAGACTCTGCACTGTCAAATTTCCCACCAGTTCTTCTTCCTCTGTACAGTAAACAACAGCAGTTAAGAGATACTACGGTGCGCCGCCGCCCCCTGCTGGACGGAGGCTGAACTACATGATACAGTGAAGCCAATATTATTTATACCCATGCTAATCATTGATATGCGCTTAGTTTTACAATTTAATTTGAACTATTTATGTTTTTTCCCCCACATATTTATCAGAAATATAATATCTAAAAGCATTCACAACCCTTGAAATTCTTCCAAATTTCTATTCCATTCCAAATGGTCCTGGTAGTTAGTCTCTAGGTTTCTAATACAACCATACATCTAGGTATAAATTGTGAACAACTCATCAGTAGCTCTCTAGTCAGTTGCTGGTCAGTGGAAAAAAAATTAAAGAAAACAAAAATCTCTACATTAGTCAGGTTTAGCACCAAAATAATTAGTGATGCACGATATTAAAATTTCTGGCTGAAGTCCAATATTGAGACTTCTAATATTGCCAAGAACCAATATTGCTGATGCCGATATTCAATTTTTGTTCACACCGAAAAATGAGTATAAGCAAGCACTGTGAGAACATGAAAACTATTCAAAAGAAGCCCATACCAACCCTACACATGGGACGCCAGCTTAAGCAGGTGAGCTATAGCGGCACCCTAAAGTAAAACATATTTTAACATATTTAACGCTCAAGTCCAGTAGCATTTAAGTAAAAACATCTGTGAAATAGCAGTCATCAAATGTAGAGACGCTACAGACGCTAATGTTAGACAATCATTGGTTTTTCACATCAGCTAAATTTGTTCATCGGACGGATACCATTATGTCAGAAAAAACACTAATATCGGACGATACCGATGTGGTCGCCGATATATCGTGCATCCCCAAATATAATGAAACTGTAGGATGTTAGCCACAATGTTCATATTACCAAGTCTAAGTTCTATAGTTTATATTACCGTAATTTGTAGTTTCATTATTACGTTAGTTAGGTTATTCTTCATAATCAGTTACACTGCAGGGTCTTAGCCTTATTATGTACTGTAGTCTAGTAAAGTGGTATTTTGTTAAATATTTGTAGAGTTTCATCCATGATATGTAAACTAGTTAGGTATGATCACAATTTAAATAACAAACTTCAAAGTATCAGCCTTTACTATTTATTTCATGGTGTACATGGTTTTTGACATTCAACTGAGCGTACAGTGCATCCATACATTAATGTATGCTGTCCTACCTTGCCTACCTGCACATTTAAAATAGCCTGATGTGATTATTATATTGTCACATTGACACTGCACGAGTGTGTTATAATATAAAAAACAAATCTGTTCCAAACAGCAAACATGTTTGTATTTCATAACAACAAGACAGAGAAAAACATGAGAGACTTGATTTTTAGAAAATGAAGCCACTCCAGTGCAATTAAAAAAAGTGCAGGGCTGAGATTTATATTGAAATATATTTTCTAAGTACTAAAAATGCAACATGATCACACCACAAAGTATTGCATTGATTCTTTCCACAATTACCAAGATGATGATGATGAAAAGTCTTGATGATGACATCCAGATAGCACTGGTTTACTGGATATTGATGCTAGTTGATTTCTACAGTGTGTTCCTGGACGTAGACGATGTAATGATGAGCATTTTCTCCCTGAGTGAGGACTGTCAGAGCCTCCAGGCCGTGAGCGTCCTCCACCACCATCACCTGGTCACCGTTTAAACCTCCCTCTGTGTTCAGAACCATCAGCTGGTTGCTGCCGACTTCCTGCTCATCAGCAACCTGCAACTTCATCCACAGCTCAGGGTCAACATTTCACCGTAACCGCATTTTATGATTAGGCGATGTGATGCTGCTTACCTGCTGCACGACGGTCACCGTGCCTGGAGCCATGGCAACCATGGAGGCAACAGCATCCTGAGTCTCTGATGTGAATTCAGTGATCTGCTGGATATTAACTGAACAGAAAAGACAAACAATCACTGGAAAGTTTAAACCCCATTAAAGTAATCATAAATCGAAACAGGAATGAGGAATTTTCCTCTAAACATGTGAGCAGGGTGCAGGTTTGGCTGAGTCAGGTATCTTCTGTTACCGTTGTCCTGCAGTGCTGCTAAAGGTGCTTCTGTCAGGTGCTCATCATCCTCCACAGACACATACTGAGTCTCTACTTCCTCCCCCACCTGCAGATTCATACATACAACAGAGACCGTGTGAAAATACTAGCTTTGACAAACAAAACTAATGTTAAATGGTAACATAGTCAAGCTGGTATATTTTCTTCATGTTTTTGTTTCTGATGGTTTGGCAGCGGTTTGGAGTTTCAAATATCTGAAACATTATTTAATGAAAGAGGGACAGAAACAAGACTGAAGTCCACACCCGTGCAAGAGGCTCTGGGGGGCTGTTGGGCGCTTTGTAGCTAAAAGTATGGATAAACATTTGGGAATCATGCAACTCTCTTTTGCTCATATGGATCCTGCTGCCGCTGCAAGTATTTAATGAACTCAGAGGAAAAACTCCTACAAACAAGTGGAAGCAACAAACTGAACTTCAGCTCCTCTTATTGTTTTGTTAAAACCAGAATGACATTCAATAATCTAACCTGTTCTGTCTTCACTGCCATCAAGTTTACTGTTTTTAGAAATTTCAGTTTGAAATAGATGTGAAAATGTAGGGAAAAGAACACAGTGTTTTGTAATTTTGTTCTCTCTTTTTGTACAAATATTGGTGCTAAAATGTGGGAAAAAAGTTCTCAAACTTGCTTCAGACAACTCAAAGTACGTCCAGCGTGTTGGTATCTATTCATTAATGTGACGGTATGCAGGTCAGACCTGTGACGAGTTTAATTAGGTATGGAAATCTCACTAGACCTGACCTAGAAATTTTGCCATCATGACCTTTCCAGAGAAGTTGCTAGGTGGCTCAAACAGACATAAAGCCAACACATTCAGTTATATTTATCTATTTACCTCCCAAGGGCCTTCCACCACTTTCAGGCTGTGTTTGCTCTTCAGGTGGCGGTTCAGCTCCCACTTTGTCCCGTAAACAAACTCACATTCAGGACACTTCATACCACCTGAACAAAAACATACAAAAACTATGTTGGAATATATTGAACACATATTTTGCTGTGAACAAACCCCACAGAGTCAAAACACACAGTTACTACAGAACTAATGTCATTGAAAAATATCTATTCCTGGTGTCATCCACAGTCTTGACTGTGCTATCAACTACATTTAAAAAAAATGTTCAACTCAGCACCAAAGTCCTGCTGAAGGTGTCTGTGAAAAGCAGGAGGAGAGCAGAGTTTGGACCTTGCTGTTTCAGAGCGTCAGGGTTCGGCAGTCCAGGTCCGGCGTTCTCGTATTTCTGATCGGGGTGTTTCCCGTTGTAGTGTCGCTTCAGAGCTCCAGTAATGTTGCAGGAGTAGTGGCAGTGGGCGCAACGAAACGGCTGCACAGACAGACACAAGCACACACCACAAGAATAAAAATGAAATACTTCTAAGACGAGATGGAACTTTAGATTAGCGCTGGTGTTGCTTTTTAACTTCAGTTGAGATTGTGGCAACAGCAACAGGAGTCACAGTTGTCTACAGCTGTACGTTAGACGAGATAAGAATACTACTGCTGGTTTAAACAAAACATGTTAAGAATACATTTTTATTCAAAATCTGGGGGAATCTCCTCCTGCTGATATTTTATCATTCCACTGATATTCTCCTGAGAAGGTGACATAAAATAATCAGAAATCCCACATGCTGTTCCTGGGCTCTGATTGTGTGTATTCTGACCTTAAATTCAGCGTGTTGTTCCATGTGTCGGAGCAGAGACGGTTTAGAGACGGATGTGAAGTCGCACTCTGAACACTGAAACCGCTTCCCTGGACAAAAATTGAAACAAAAGGGAAAAAAAGACTAAATAAACACAATTCTCATGTATGATATTCCTAATAAATAAGTAAACCATCATCAGAATGAACATACCTTCATCTGTGTGGCTCAGTCTGTGGCTTTTCAACGTGACTTTAGATTTGAACTTCTTCCCGCACAGATCGCAGAGGTGGCGTCTCTCTGTGTTGTGTCGGTTCATGTGAGTCTTCAGGTTACTTCGACTGCGGCCCGCGTAGTCACAAACATTGCAGAGGTACGGCTTCAAACCTGCACACAATGACACACACATGCAAATAAAACTTTACAAATCTCCAACAGTTTAGCCAAGAAGACAAAATATGCTCTGAGTAGCAACAAAAAGCTTAAAACTAACTCTTTAAAGACAATTTTGTTGCAGTTTTTCTTGTGTTGAATGAAGGAGCTCAAAGTAAGAGGCCTGACATTCTGATAATAAAACATGTTGATCAAAACACAAACTGCTACAGCGTCTTAACAGTAAAATAGTTTCTAGTCCACTATCCTGCAGGTGCTTCTATGTTAGATTTTTGTGTTGCTGGGAGCTGGACAGTGGCCATCAAGTGCCAAAAACTTGGAGAGAAAGCTGTAAGAACCCAAGGCCACGTAAAGAGACAAACTTCCTGAAGGTTGCAGGATTGTTTTTTAAAGTTACACCTGTCTCAGCTTCAGGACAGATGCAGCTTCGAGGTAAAAGCCCCCGAGGGGAAGGCGAGCCGGAACAACAATTCATTTCCAAGACAAAATGTGCAGCTGATGAAGCCAAGGTGTACGTATTAAACCGTTTCAAGCACATATTTATCAGCCGTGCAGTCTAACAAACGCGATTTCATAGTTTCACAAGCAGCTTGATGGATGGGCCAGTTTCCTTCTACAACATCTGCGTTTTCAGTCTGGTCCGTCCTTCTGGAGGGCAGCCAGGAGGAAGACAGACGGATGGAAGCTCAGCTCACAGAGCGATGATACGGTGAAACACTGTGCACAGACGCTGGTGTTGCTGCTGTGAGTGTGTGTGTGTTGGCGTTTCTGCAGATGTGTTATCGCACCTTGGTGGGCCCAGATGTGCTGCTGGAAGTCACTGCTGTTCTTCAGGAAGTAGGAGTCACAGTAAGGACACTTCTCTGCTCGCTGCACCATCAGTCCTTTACCTTGTGCAGGCAGCGTATCTGTCCAGGCCAAAAAAAACAAACACACAACATGCAAAATTGGAAAATTGCTCGCCACCTGGATACTTGGCTAACTGTTCAAATAATAAATATGTGGCTGCAAACGAAGACAATGCTTTGATTATTAAAAAAGTAATCTATAGTTGCAAAAAGAGGCATCTTCAGGACACTTCATCATCACAGTGATAATAATGTCCCCATTAAGGGATCAATAAAGTTGATCTTATCTTATCTTATCTTATGTAAGAATGTGAAAACTTTCATGAAAATGGTTTTTAAAAAGTCATGCTGTTCAGTTTTTTTTTGCTCTAAGATTTAACCTTTTTTTTGGATTTGGCACAGACTTGGAAAATGAGAAAATATTTACTCTCACACAGATTTTATAAGACAGGTTTGAGATTGCATTCAGTCTGTGTGTTTTGTCTTTGTCTGCAGATATATTTGTGCTTGTTCTTTACCAGGGTGGGATTTTTTAATGTGGTTTTTCAGTCGGTGCTCTGGATAACTGTGATGGCAAACAGGACACGTGGCGCTCCTCCCCTGTGAACACCAACGAGATGAAGACGTTACAGAAAAAAAAAACTAAATAAAATTTCACACCCTTCACAGAAATAATAGACAAAAGAACACCTGATTCAATTTGTACCTGAAAACCATCACAAAAGTAGCAACAGAAATTCTGCACTGTTTTGAGTTTTCTCAAGCCCATTACCTGCTCCTGATGTGTCCTCAGATGGGCTTGAAGCTTGTATTTGTCAGGTGTGGAGTATTTACAGCCGGGAGTCGAACACGGCAGCTGCAGGCCGCTGTGCTTCTGGATCTGGTGCCGCTTCAGAGAGCTTTTGGTGATGGAAGAGTAGCTGCACTTCGAACAGTAATGCGAGTGCTCCTTGGTGTGCGTGCGAACATGGACGTTATAGTGGACCTTGTACCAGAACAGTTTACCTGTGCAGCAGGAAAATGCGATTAGAAGCAGCAGACGAGAAGCTAAGTACGAGAAAAAACTGAGCAAAGCGAAACCAGCCATCTCAAAGGGGGCTTCATCATCTCACCGCAGTATTGACATTCCAGTTCTCCGTAAATCTTCCTGAGCCGTTGGAAAGTCTCCATATTGAGCTGAGTCTTCTGAAGAGATGAAAACACCTGCTGGAAGGCACTCTGATGGAAATCCTCTGACATCTGACAGCAGAAAGGAACAAGTCAAGAACAAAGCTTAAAATGGACAAAAGCTATGCGAGGAGAAGATGAAAAATGATCCAACGCTTATGAGCTCAGACACATGGATGAATACATTCCGATCCCAGCATTCATAACATAATAAGAACCATAGAAGCTTTGAAATATTTATATAGGATTAGGAAGCATGAGACCAAAATCAGAACATCCAATTTAATATTAATGGCAAACACTTTTCACCATTTCTAAATATGAAATAAACTTGCAGGTAGCTATCACTCAGTAATATTGGTGTGTTTTCCTGAAGAACGTAAGTTTATTAATAATACAGCAGAGAATAAAAAAATATCTGTCTGCTGGTGCCAAAATTATGAGCATTTAGGTAAATATAAAATATATTTTATCATTCTTGTATTGACTTTACCTTCTCTGAATGTGCACTTTCATCCACCAGAGGGCCTGAACACTCGGATGAGTTCCTATGTCCTGATGATGAAGATGTGTTTTTGGCTGCACTTGTGTTCTCAGCAGCATCTTCTGAAGTCCTATCCTCAGAGTTCGAGGTTTGGATCCTCTCTGGTGACGAAGAGATGAGTGTGTTTGCTGTGCGTCTTTCAGCTGCAGAGATGCACGTCTCTGCTGTCTCATCGTGTGACTTCTTACCGGCTGTTGCTTCATCTGGTCTGTCTGGGGACCCTGCTGCTGTTTCTATCACCTGAACTTCTTCTGCACTTTCTTCCTGAGCTTTATCTTCCTCCCTCTCCTCACTCGGCTGCTCTCCTTCACCACTGCTTCCACCCTCCTCTCTCACCCGGTCATCCTCACCCTCCTGCACTATCCTGTCGTCTGGTTTCTGCCCTCTCTCCGAGTCCTCGCCCTCCTCACTCCCCCACATGCCTCCTCCGGGCTGAACCAGATAGTAGCTGCTGTTGATAGAGTCTGTGAAAGCCTGTTCCTGCTCCAGCTCAGGGTGAGACTCCTTCAGGTGACTCTTCAGCCTCTGCGAGCTGACAAACTTCTCGTCGCAGACGCAGCACATGTACAGAAACAGGTGCTTCCTGACGTGAGCGGCGAGGGCAGCCATCTTTGTGGCAGCGTGGTCACAGAGGAGGCAGGCGAAGGGACGCTGGGGACCGTGGACCAGCAGGTGACGCTCCCGCTCCAGCTGGTTCTTGAAGCGTCGGTTGCAGGTGGGACAGTGGTACAGGAGCTGCCTGAGGCCCTGACGGGTCTTTAACCTGGATAAGATACACAAATTGATCAGAAAAGAAGGGACGGTACATTACAGATATGTTTCCCAACCACTGGTACTGGTAGTTCAGGAAAGTTGGAAAGTTTAGCTCAACTCATCTGAATAAAAATGAAAAACCAAAGAACTGAGTGGAGCTGAACAGGTTTGAGTAGAAAAGCTAGTAAAAGTAAGGGATAATCAGAAGACACAGATGCCAACATTAATGCATAAATAATTCCAATATGAAGTCAAGATGAAACTTCAAATAAGACTGAAAGAGCTACCTAAGAGCATGGCTGACAGATGGATGCAGGAACACTTGGAAATTGTTATTATAAAATATGAATAAAAAGTTGACAATTGTTAGCAAAAAAGCATGACGACACAGTTGGAAAAGATCAGCTAATAGTATGGATAAACAAAGGAAATTGGTAGCTTATCAAAATAAGATAAGCAGGTGAAATAGCTTGCAAAAATTAGAAACAAACAAGTGGATGTTTTTAGGTAATAGTATGGATTAACAGTTGAAACCATTAAAAGCTCAAAGTAATGGATAGATATTAAAATATAAACTGTAGATTACACTAATGAATACATAGTTGGATGAAAAATAGATAATGGAGATCAGGAGCTTTCAAAGTGTAAAATTGTGGGTTCCTACTCAGACAAAATCAAACCCGACGTCCCTCCAGGTGAATATAGATGTAAAAGCTTCTATTTATTTAATTTAGTCAACTCCAATCATTGATTTTACGTTTGAGATGCACCCATGGAAAACCAGACAATTTCTGTTATATCGAGGACTTCGTTATTCTCAGAGAAGTTCAGAAGTTTTATGATTTTCTGGTACATTTTCTGGATGTTTATTGAGGTTTTCCACACAAACTGTAGGCCGAATCAGCGATCCAAACCACACTAACGTCCTGTTGCTTTCAGAACACCAGCATGCATCTGTCCATTTCATCTCACGCAGCATCTTTCCCTAAAGTGTGTCCTCTGTAAACATGTTCAACTCTCCCACATCCCCTCACAGTGTAAAAACCCCCACCGAGGATCTCACCTCAGCTGCTGGTAGCTCTGCTGAACTGGTGGGTCCTTCAGGTTATGTCGTTTCTCCATGTGCTTCAGCAAGTTCTTCACATCAGAGTACTTCTTCTCACAGAAGCTGCAGTGCTGCTTCACCTTCATATGGACTCGCTCTATGTGGACCTGCATTACAAGAAGCACAGAACTGCAGCTGCAGAGAAAAGCTTCTAGATATTGTATATCCGACTTGTCTAATGTAGCACACAGAATGAAAAGATAGAAAAAAGCATAAAACTACGTCACACGCATAGAAAGAAATCCACAAACTGCCTTGATAAAAATGCAATTTAAAAAAACAACAATCTAGCCTTGTTAAAATTTGACTGCATTGTATTTTGAAGATTGTGTGTAAATACTAAATATTCTGAAGCTGCAACAGCAATTTATACGTGTAATAACAGCACCTTGAGGTGTCCTGGGCTGAGGCAGGTGAAAGGACAGTGCTCGCAGCTGAACTTCTCTCCTGTGTGCTTCCTCAGGTGAACATTCAGGTTGGCTTTGAAGAGAAAAGCTAGTCAGTAAGCAGAACCACACTCTGTTTCCTGTTAATACTTCAACTTGCACTGCCTGAAAAAGGTCAGATTTATAACAATCTCACTCTGTCTTATGTTTAATAAGCTGAGATCTCTACGTGGAGTACTAAACTGTCTCTCCTGTGTAGGTGAGTCTGTATTTACCTTTGATGGCTGAAGCGTAGTCACAGTGAGGACACTGAAAAGGTTTTTCCTGAGTGTGCGTCCTGAGGTGGGCGATCAGAGAGTGTCTGAACTTAAAGATCTTATTGCAGAACTCACAGGCAAAGATCTTCAGCTGGCTCTGCAGTAAACTGGAAGACAAATATGGATGAACACTTGGAAACTGTTGGCTAAAAGTATAGATAAACAGTGGTGAATTGTTAGAAAACTATGAAATAAACTGGGTGACAGAAAGTGAAGATATTACATTTACTAGCTGACTAGTTTTATTGTTATTGCTATTGTGGTGATGGATGGTGCTGCTAAAGTTGCAAAATAAAATAGATGAACTTCTCAACTGGCTCTACCAAAGCCACTCGTCAGAAGTTTACAAAGCCAAACATGTCTTTTCATTTAATCGCCAGAGCTACAAAAACTACATTTATATGAATACATTTTTTAAATATTTGCATCATACTTGGTAGCATCTTGCTTGATTGAATATTCCTGGAAGCCTTTTCCGGTTTCTGTTGTCAGTGTTGAACTAGGAGTAGAAAACACAGAGGTCAGATCAGCAGATAACAGGTCATTATGCTGCATCCACAAATTAAATGATCAGCAGTAAGATATTGTGCTTAATTGTCAGATATTAAGCTTACTGCTTATTAGTTATTATGACAATCAGTTAACTATTAAACTGGACATTTTCCATGATCCTACCTTGGTTCCTGGTCTGTTTTAGGGTCTTCGTCACAGGCAGTAGTTTCACCTGTGACATCCTGTGACTCGGACTGGAATACTGCAGAACGCTGAATGCAAAGGAGCAATGAACAAATAAACCCCAAAAATATTGGAATCCACACATTTACATTACTTTAAGAAAATAAAAACAAGAAAAAACAAAAGTAGTGTCAATCTAAACTGTGTCCAGAAAGGTCTGTCCTGACTAACTGAGACTGTGTACAATTAAAGAGATGGTCCTGCCTAATTATCATAAATATTAGTTTCTAATGTTGTGAGCACCCTGAATTAAATAAAACATCACTAATGTGATGGAGGCAGAAATGTTAGAGATATCTCCAAACCTGAGCACATTAAACTGTCTGACAGCTCGACGGTTCAATGAGAAGATGTGTTTTTATGTGGCTGACCTTTCAATGTTGGACATTTTTCCCACGTTTACCTGAGGTTGTGCAGCTGCAGACTCTGTTTCTGCTGAACTGTCCTCCACTGGAACCATTTTAGAAACACCTGCTGGATTAAATGTTGTATTTATAAATGTTAGTTTTAAGCCAAAAGGTAAAAACAAGATCAAAATGCTCTCTAAGACTGACCCGGAAGTGTTTCATCTTCTGTCAGAACAACACTGACAACTGATTTTTTGTTTCCTGTTGCTTGGCTTCCTTCTTTAGAGATGCGATTCCGATTGTTTCTTTGAGATCTGAAGTTTCCCACATCTAAAAATAAAAAAATAAAAAAAAGAAGAAAGAGATTTAAATTTAGAGAAGTCATTTGTAATCTGCTCAGGTGGGAATTCCTTTTAAGAAGCCGTGTCCTGATCTCACCCTTTTCTCTCGTGAGTCCCGGTCTTCCTGAGTTTTGTTTGTTCTGGTTTGGATCAGCTCCTCCAGGATCCAGATTTTCTGAACCTTCACCTTCTGCTCCACCAGTGGCGTTCCCTGAAAATGAATGTGTCTATTGATCAGACAGCTAAAAGGCCAAGAACAATGAATATTTGTAAATGATATTTAATCCTCTCTCATCATAATAAGTATATTTTCCAACAAGCTTCCTCAGTTCACCTCAGCTTCCTGTTCGTTGAAACCATCTGACATTTATGTTACTGAATCCCATTTCAAAGTTCTACTTTCATCTCACCGTTCTCCTCTTCATCCTCTTCTTCTTCCTCTTCTCTCAGGCAGATGTGTTTGAGGATTTGTCGTCTGTTGCTAAAAGAGCGACGGCAGCTCCGACATTCCAGCCCCGATATCTCATAGTGACCTTTGCCTGAGCAGAAGGAAACAGAAACAGAGTCAGAATGCAGGAATCACACTTTGTGAAGCACATTTGCAAGAAACTATTTACTAAAAATAACACTCTGGGCATAAATGTCTGCACCAAATATTAGTGAAAGTTGTGTAAAGGTACCAACCACGAAAACAAATGCCAGGTGCCCAAAATATTAGCACCACAATTTATTAGCTGAGAAAAGGATAAAAATAATTATGGGTTAGATGTAAAGGGCATCAGTGCTACCTTCTACCGAGCTACTTTGTCGGTCTCCTTTATCCTTGTTCCTCTTTTGTTCTTTTTCTAAATTATCCTCTGGGCCGTGGGTGGAGGCAGCTTTGCCTTCTGTCAAATCTGTGCGCATCTTCTTCGTAGAGCCTTTCGGTCGGCCTCGTTTTCGCTTCACTGGGCCCTCTGTGGACGGAGAAAAGAAAAAAGACAAAATTAGACAAGTTTCATAAAGAGATCAAATGAATGTAAAAATTATTTTCTGTGCAACAACAGCCTGAAATACTTTGATACTAAGAGTCAAAAAGGTGTAAATAAATTGGTTTTAGGGAAAAAGACAGGGAAGCAAATACCTGAAACAATGAAATATTTAACATGAGCCAGAAAAGAGAGGAAACATTGCTTTACATTACAACGAAAAGCTGGTATATTGGAATGGAAAGGAAGACAGGAACAATACGGCTACGGTACACTTAGTGCCATCAGATAGACCCAAAGGGAAAAAGGCTTCATACACAGAAAGAATAATGCCACGTTATCATCAAATATTTGAGTTTGAGTGCAATTAATCCCTAAATTGGTGAATGTAGTGATACTGATTATGACAGAACTTACAGATTACATAGATTTACAGAAAATATGTAGATTTAGTGACAGTAATCGTGGTAATTTCATGACTCTCCGACCTGCCAGCGTCTCCACAGGGTCTGCTGCGAGGGGCTGCAGCACAACGATGATGTCATCTGAAGGATCTTGCTGTGGGTGCAACTGGGCACAATGGTCCTGCAGCTGGGAGCGACTGGGAGAGAAGAGGTTGCACAGCCGACACATAAACACAGAACCAGCTGGAAAGACAGGGAGGGAAAAGGTGACGGATCCGGTGGCTCACATATTATCTGTTACAGTTTACATGCGACTCCTGTGTGTTTGTTTCTCTCGACATAAATATGGAAACTGCAGATGTAGATGTATATATAATTTCTATATTGTACACGTAACAGAAGAAGAATTAGCCACATTTACTGCTTATATACCGTTCGAAGATGAATAGTGAAAGATGGTGTGTTCATCTGAAAATATAATGATTCTTCAAATTCAACAAGTGAGAAGCAATCTGCTGAAAAATATCGGCATTACTTTTGATGTTCCTGTACCTGTATACGTCTGCACCAATGTTAAAATTCTGTTAATACTTTAAGAGGATTAAATGGGCTTGCTCCAAATTAACCTGGGGAACTCTTGGCTGATTATTCCTGTGAACAAGGCTGACCAGGTCGGGAACAGATCAGACATCTTTCATTATTAAATCTCTTCTTATAAACTTATTTCTTTTATATTCATCTGCACGCCTTTATGAATATTTGATATATGGCTGTGGCTTATTATCCTGTCTTTGTTTTCTTTCTGTTTTATGAAGTCATTGGTTTTATAATCGTTGGTTTGTTTATGCTCTTATGGTCTTTTACTTTTGTTTCAGTGTTTATCTAAAACATATATATATATATAAATGTTTTCTATACTTCCACAATCTAGTTTTATCGAAGCATTTGACATTAACTTCATTCATGATTTACATCTGACCTGAAATCTCCAAGGCTAAGCAGTATTTCAGTGATGCATAACTTTATAATGCAAACAAAGTTATGCATCACTTGCTTTACTTTCATGACACTGACTCGTGATCTTGTGGAAAACATTTCATAGATATATTGGCGTAACTTTAAGACGCTTGTTGACACACAATATTTTTTAATAAACCATCATCTCCTGTTTTAGTCAGCTCAATTTGATGCCGTCTTACAACTTTCGTTATGACTGATGTAACTAGATAACGGTCAGCTGGCACTTCAGTAACAAACATGTCGAAGCCTCGGTAGCATCGTAGTTTTACTGCATAGAAAAAAAAAAACTGTATGTAAAAGGTGTACCACCACATGGAGAATATAAAAACTAGAGACTGTAATTCAGCGCTAGAAACTCAGCACGTCTGTTTATTTTGATTTGTCCTGAGCTAACGTGAAAACCTGACAGACATATTCGAGTTGAAGCTAATAAAAACTCTGACCTGCTTTCTGTGCGTCCATTTTCTCCGTCATCTGAAAGGCAAAAGGCGGAGAATTTATCAAAGGCCCTGGAGTAAAGTACAGTCAAATGTAATGTTTGAATCAAGATTTTAAAGCCTAATTTTACTTTACGTTCGTACAATTTTCTGTCGAATCTGCGACACACGTCCGTTCAGGCAGCGGAAGCAGAGAGACCCGCTGACGCTGTGGCAGACAGCGCCCCCTGCGGCGGGAGGACGGAACTGCGGCGGAGCGGAGAACTGCAGGAGTGTCCCTCCAGCTAACACGATTTAGTCAGTATTTGTTTTATTCTGACACTGTTAGCGTGAAATCAAAATGATACTATTGCAGATTACAGATTCGGTAGTTTTTTGTTTGTTTGTTTGTTTGTTTGTTTGTTTGTTTGTTTTTCACAAAGAAAGGGAGAGTTTTTAAGTTTAATCCTTAAGGAATTTTTTATTTTAGTTTTTTTTTTTTTTTTTTAAGTCAATAAACGTCGTCCCTAATGGAAAAACAAGAAGATATAATTATAATTCATCACTAAACATTGGAGAGAGAAAAAAAGATCAATAAAGACTAGAATAGAAAAGTAAGAGGTAATAGTGGAAATGATATTAAAGTAGTTAAGTAGTGTTGCACATTATAGTGAAATATTGTATATGAAAATGAAAATATGCACAGCATATTGTAATTTTCACATGAAATTGAAATATTACACATGCTATTGAGTTTCATGTTGCACATGAAATTGAGAATGTAATTTTGCAAATGATTGTGACATTACTGTCCAGTGTTATGTCCGAAAAGAAGGTAGAGATAGTTATATAATCATAATATAAAAACGTGGAGAAAAAACAAATGTTTTATAACTTACCAGTTCTAAACTATCATATAGTCAGAGGTTTGCTCAAATGGAGCAAATCACAATAATCAGGTTTGATGAAGTCATTATTTAAACACTGTACTTAAAAAAAACAGGTGCTGAACCAAAAGGCTGTCCAGTTGAGAAAGTTGGTGTTCTGAATTTATCTCACAAGTTTAGATATTAAGGTTGAAACTCTGCAGTAATATATAAAATACAAATCCACCTGACTAATTTAATCATTAAGATTGTACAATAGTATATACAATGAAAATTTGCTTGACTAATTTAAATATAATTATATATAACACACTGTTGCCCATAAAGTTGAAATAGTCTTTCGTTTTCAGACATATTCCATCTTTTATTTCTATTTATACACATCAGTAATCCCTTTTGACCAGGTGCAATGATTACATACTGATTTCCAGTTACCTGGGTGAAAGTAATTTTGACTTCAGGATCTGACCAAAGAGTGGGACGTCCTGTCCATTGACACCATCAACAAGCTGGTGGAGAGTATGCCACCATGTCTTAACGCATGAATCCGTGTCAGGGGTGGCCGTACTCAATATCAGAGACTGAATGGCATTTGAAAGAGTAATACTGGACATTCTACTGCATGAAATCCCCCCAAACATGTGTTTCCTGTTAAAGTGGCCAAGGTTGAAAAATTTAAACAAAACCCTTAATTCTATCGTTCAATACCCCCAATTTTCTTTAAGCCCGAATACACAGTTTGCAAAAGTTAATTCTGGTTTTATATTTAGTGTGATGTGTTGTACATACATTGTGATATCAATAAAGTTTTGAGAAGATGTACACTTTATCTATCAAGAATAAATCGCATTGTCACAATCGCGTCATGAGAAGTGGTAAAAAAAAAAAAGAGAGAGATTTTATTCCAACTTCATGGGCAACAGTATATATATATATGTATCCAAAGTTTCCCTTTAAGAAGGTATATTAAGGTGATAATGAAGGAAGACTGAAGTAGAGCAATGACAAAACCTTTAATAAACAATGCAAAAATGTACAGACATACAGACATTTACAGCTTGTTTAAAAAAAAAAAAAAAAAGTGTCCACTCAGGCCAGTCCCAATAATCAATAATATCTACCAATGACACACACACACACACACACACGCTCAAACACATGCAGACACACATCATATGAACAAGTAGTGAACTATCATCCATTTGTCTAAAAATGCTTTCAGGTAAAGGTGTTCACTCCTCTCTTGTATACTGCATTTCAGTCCAACAGCATCTCTTTCCATTTTTATTCTGACTGTTGTTCAGTTCAGGTCAAAGATGTTTTTGCAACATAAATGAAACTAACATAAGAAGCAGCCTACAGATAAATAAAAGGTTCATGCTCTATCATCAGCAAATAATTGATTCATTCAGGAAAAAAAAAAAAATACAAATGAAATAGGCTCCACCTCCAAATATGTCAAAAACTGTCTCCTGGACGAAATGACGTGATGATGAACAGCAATATTTGCACTTTGATGAGACTAGAATCTTAAATTCTCTATGTTTCAGTCCAAAGTTGGCTTTAGATTAAAATATAGGCCATGTAATGCTCTTCCCTGACACTGAAACATCAAGCCTCTACCTACAATAAGTCAATTTTCTTATTTACATAAAGTTTACATCCCTCACTCACAATATACTGTGTGTAATGTGTATTTATTATTTCATTTTTTATATACAGTGAAAACCTGGTTAGAAATCAGATAATAAACATATTAACTGGAGTCGGTGTCAGTAAACAAAGTAAAACATAATGCATACACACATACTGTATGTAAACATCAGAGCACAATGTATGAAGGAACATCATATCATTGATGGTGACAAAACCAAATGCTCAGTGAAGCTGATTTTCATAGTAATTCAAAAAGCTGAGTTGAAGTTGAGCCCTTTTATCTCCATGTACAAAGAGAACAGACACTAACAGGGACAGTATGAAATGGAGCTTCAACCTGAAATATTACTAGGGGAAAAAACGAGCTGCTAAGATGGTTTTAGTGTGAAAAGTTTCCGTCTCCTAAAATTGTTTTAAAAAAGTCACTGAGGGATCTTCATGAAATAAAATAATGTTGAGGGGACACAGAAATAATGAATGTATCTTATACCCTGTTTGAACACACTGAGGTCGTATCAGGTTTGAATCAGAAGACATAAATCTCTTCACCCAACATTCTGTCTTTTCCACCATTATCCAAAGAAGCAACAACAATCAGCTATAACACATCGTTCCCATCTCTGTAACCGAAAAAATGAAGCAAGCATGCCGATAAAATAATCATTCAAATAATCATGATCAAAATACAAGAAATCATTACGAGCGAGGAAACAGAGATGAAAATTCTGTGAAAACAAAATATCCAAGATTCAGGAGGGCTGATGATGAAGTTTCTGTATTTTAGTGTTTGTGGCATAAGGCTTGTTTTTAATTCCTGAGATATATACGTCTGAGTGTGTGTGTTTGTGTGTGTTTGTGTGTGTGTTCACATAGTGCAGCACTTGTTCTTTTGTGCTTGGCCGTCTTTGAATCGGAGTCTCTGCTTCGACCGATATTTCTCCAGGTAGGTCAGCTGTTTGCTGTTGATCGCTCCACGACGCTTCCTGTACAAAAAAACAAAAAAAACCACAAACATCGTAAGGTGGAAATCAGTGGATTTACTCTTAACATGCTTTCAGTGCTTCTACATCTACTGAGTGGATACAGATGTCTTCTATTTTCTACATCTTTGACTGATCAGTCAGAGATAACAATCCTTCTCGATCGCACTTCTTTGTCTGTTTAATATTCATTCTGCATGCTTTTAAATAAGTTCCTCTCTGGGACATAATGAAAAGGATACTTAACCTGAACAACTTGTTTTGGGGTTTAAAAACTGTTTTGTTTTGTTTTGTTTTTTAAATTTAAATTGAAAATGTGAGTTATTACGATTCTCAGTGTGCATCGTATTTACAACATAAAACAAAACCCCTTTTGCTTTTCCAATATTTCCATTTTTTACATTAGTCTTATTATATTATCATAGTTATTGCAGAGAACAGCAGAACTGTGGAGGTCACTCCTTGTAATTATCTTCATCTCTTTATCACCACTATTCTTTGTAAGTAGGTGTAGAGGAGTCGTGATCATAAAACACTAGTATGGGCCTCTTCCCAGAAGCAGACTATGAAAGCCCTGAGGAGGTACAGAACTATAGTTTCACCTGTTCTAGCTGTGTATTATCATCATTTTGTAGGGTTCAAATAATGCACAAGTGTTGTTTCTCCACGATAGTTGTAAGATCTGCATGATGAATATTATACAGAAAGTCATATATAAATGTACTCACTGTCTGATGAGTTGAATTGCATCTTCATACTTCATCCCACTTTCTATCAGAGCCAAAGCGACCAGCACAGGAGCCCTGCATGTGAGCATAAACACATGGAGTCGCATCTACACTTCTGCTTATCTGTATCTATATTCAAAAACTTCTTTTTTTTTTAGAAATAATATGCCTCTACAGTAAATCAAACATTTGATTGATTGTTCAGTGATGCTGACGTGCACTTTTTAAGCTTTTATCTTCACATAAGGATCCTTGCTTTGTGTATTTAAATTCTTCTGTTCACACTAGAGGGTGAATACATGTGTTTTAAAGTGTTTCTTACCTTCCCAGTCCAGCCACACAGTGGACAGCTACACAGCTTCCTGGATCCTCCTTAAACTTCTTCTTCAACAGACTCAGCCAATCATCGACCAGCTTACTGGGTGGTGGAGCTCCATCATCAAAGGGCCAATCCTAGCAGAGAGGCCCAACAGTTACTGTCTGCTGCTTAGTGTATACACAGGATACGTGACATCGTTGGCTTCATCAGTCTCTTGAAGCATTCGGACATTAAAGGTCACACTTATGTTCCTCACGGCTTCATTCAGACTCACCAGCAGTAAAATAAAAATATCCCAGCAGCTGTGATGGAGCTGAGGACGGCTGCTACATAACAGCTGATGTAACGACAGCTAATAAACTGTGACTTACATGTCGGAAGATAAGTTCACAGTGTGGCCTGATGTTAGATCCTGATCCATCCTGTCGCCATGTCGGGGATAACTTATAATTATAAGTAATTAATGAAGTTATTTTCTGTGCATGCGTCTATTTATTTGGAGATTTTCATACAGACCCTGCTGCTGGCATTTAAGAAACTCACAGGAAAGACTCCTAAAACCAGTCGGAAGCAACAAATGAAACTTCAGCTCCTGTTAATCAAGATTTCTTTTTTTTATTGGTGTGTCTCTTTCATCTTACCCGTCACAGTCTTTATCTCAGTAAATTTACATTTTTTATGCACATAGAGGTTCAACTGTAAGGCAACGTGAGTGAGAAAAGTGTTTTTTGTGCTCTCTGTGATACTTTTGGGCCAATATTGGTGGTAAAAAGATGAAAAACATCTTCCTTAAATTGTTTTATACAACTCGTTCATCTCTTTACGAGACTGCATGTAGTCTAGAACTACATTGATGCATAAATGATGCTAGGTTTGCTGTCACAATTTTTTTGTAAAAGTAAGCAGAGCAGCCTTCATTTGCTGTGCGATTATCGGAAATATGTGCATGTCTGACAGGGGCTGAAGTAAAGAGTGTGTTTTTGCGTATTGTGTTCTCACCACCACAGTAATTCCGTCTTTCTCAAGTGGTGCTTTGTCGTAGGTGATGTCACAGACCCGGACCACGGTTGTGGCGCCGTAGCGCTTCAAGTCCTGAAGGGGACGATATAGGCAGAAGGAGATTTTAACAACATACATGGTTCAATGGTTATTTAAGAAGCTGACTCAGTTTACATGTCAGAGGAAACATACATATAGTTTCTGTTTGTATAGTTTCTGCCTGTTTCTTACCTCTATGAAGGCGCTGAGTGTGCTGTCTGTGGGGTTGTGTGTGATCAGGAACCTCATGTTCTTGTGGCACAGTTCTACTGGAGCCGGACGGTTCATGTTGGCCAGCGTCACCTTTGACATCCCAGACAGACCTCTGACCTTCAGGTGTTAGATGTTAGACATACACTCAGAGTCAGGGGAGGGATGTTCTGAACATACTTTAAAACTTACAATGATTTCAAACCAGCAACAAAGATTTATAGATTTGTTGCCCATAAATTGTCTCCATTTTTTAGTGTATTGTTGCTTCAGCAGAACCATAATTTAATTAAAGGAATAATTAAACATTTGAGGAGAAGAACAATTCTCTCTGCAAAATTTAAATCTAGAGCTAGCAGGTTGGTAGCTTAGCTTAGCATAAAGCCTGAAAGTGACAGCAAAGAAATACGATTGAAAAAACTAAAAGAACACATTTTCAGATTTTGTTTTTGAACAAGAAACAACAAGATAATAACTAAAAATCCTGAGGTGCTGCTAAATACATTATTTTGTGTCAGTACGGAGCTTCCAATCTTTACGCTAAGCTAACTAGCTTCTGGCTACAGCATCATAATCCCCGTACAAAGTGGTGCCAAACTTCTTATTAGACTCTCAGCAAAAAAAGAGTAATATTAGTAGATTCTAAACTGTCAAACATCGAGTTGAAACACCTGAAAACTCAAACTAACGGTGTTTAAAACTGAATGCAGTGCTGCAGATAAAGCAGGTGTGCAGAGACACATATAGTCCACATCTACAGGTGTTTTTACCTGTTTAGAGCTGTTTTGTAAATCTCACTTTTACATTTGTTCAGGTGGAACAACTCACATGTACATCAAACCTACAGACCATTTTTCCAGACATGTTGGCACATCATAGCAGAAATAGCACAGGTATAAATGAAATACCTGCTCTGCATTCAGGTGAGCTAGTTCAAGAGTCTAAGTGTTGTTTAACACATGATGGAAATGTTCTATCATTACTAACATTTGCCGCACTTGGGTTTGTCCTGTAACAGGTTTGAGCCTCACAACATTCCCATGACAGCTCTATCCTGAATTTAAAGAATGGCAAGTTTTTTAGCGTGTCCCATCTTCACTGGTTTTTCTTGACTTATCATTATATATTAAGGTATCAGGGATGTGAGTATATTTTATAAATATGCAGTATTTTAGTGAGAGTTTATTTGCGCAATATCCTCGATATACAAAGAGTAAAAAGCCACAAAGTAAATGTGGACAAACTAAGCCAGACAGGTCATTTGGAATAACTGTGTGAATGGAGAACCTTGTTGTGCTGCTTATTCATTTCACAGTGTGGAAGTTTTGAAGCTTCAGGCTTCCACACGAAACATCTGAAGCATCTCTGGCATCGGTTCTACTGCACGTGACCATGTATTTACGAGTTTCTCTTCCTGTCACGGAAGTGTTTTCTTAAAGTCCCCCTTCACTCAATAATCACAGTGCAGAATGATTTATCTTCAGAGTCTGACACTGACAGGACTGTCTGGTAACTCTTCTGGTGAAAATGTCAAATCTGAGTTTAAAATGTACAACTGTGAGCAGGATTTGTGACGTTACAGCCTATTTGGATGTCAGTCCAGGTCTGATAAGTTTGCATTTGCAACATAATGTGAAAGCTTTCCATTGCACAAAAACTAACGGTGGGCTCCTCAGTGATCATAAGTGTAGTTGGTTAACTTTTTGTATTCATATCGTAGATCCTGTGAGGATGGATGACAAGATGTCATTTAAAAAAAAATCTAACTAAGGTATTAAACTTTTTCTTTTGGAAGAAACAGCTTAGATTTAAATCACTTTTAAATAATATGTCCTGCCTAGAGGGGCTCTTTAACGTAATATTTTCTGTTTTAAAACACAAAAAACAGCTGAAAATACAGAAAGTGACAAAGCTCTGCAAGATCTAGGACATAAAAACCCTCTTAAAACCACTCTTAAAACCTAACAGAGTATCCTTTACATGAGAACTGCCATTAAACACAGTAGTAAAGAGGAGTTAAAGTCTTCACTATATTTAGTGTAGATCTGATGACAAGTCGCTCTCACCTTCAGCTCCAGCTGCAGCAGCTCACTGTTGTGTCTTTAGCTTATAGTTGATCTCCAGGTAAGTCTGTGCTTCCCTTCAGTTTATAACCGTTTAAGGTCTTTTCCAGCTCTTAGGTCCTTTTTGTGTTGATTGTTATCCCATCAGCTGACTGTATCCTACAGTCCAATACAGTGTGTCAGTGTTCCCTTTGTTCTAGTCTCTGTGATTCTCTCTGATCCCGTCCTTCTCAGCAACTCTATTCCTTCCTTCTCTCTCCAGGTAGCTTCCGGTGTCGAGACTCCACCTGTTACCCCATCAGCCGGCAGGTTCAGAAGGCCGGTGGAGTTTCCTGATTCACGGCCGGAGGAGTGTGTGGTCCAGCATCATCGTCCCAGGTGAGTCTAAAGGTGTTGGGCGTGGCAGTAGTCACCACTCCGCCGCACAAACTCCATCAACTGGCAGTTCTACGGAACACAAAACACAGAAAAGTGGTTAAACTTCAAGAGTACTGATAAAAAAAATAAAAAAAAAAAAAAACTGCAAAGATTTCAGAAATTTAGAATGAATGTTTCAGGTCATGTGTCTACATAATACTGTAAAATATACTAATTACAATCAGTTTCAGATGTGCAAAGCCTGACTAGAGAGCATCTGATGGCTAACGAACACAAACAAGTGAAGATACACATGTAAATCTTATTCACACCACAGACATGTTTTAAACTCCAAATCTAGTCATGTTATCTTTAAAAAAAAATCACAAAAATTACACCAATTACCAGAACCGGAAACTGTTAAGACAGATTTTTACCTTTACAGCAATTCTTATACTCTTCATCTGTGCGTCTCGTGAGAAAACGTAACCAAATGGAGGCTTAAAATTGTGATTTTTGTAAAACGGAGCATCAATTAATCACAAGATTAAAATTTAAATTGGTAATTTTTGGATGGAATTTTAACTGAAGAAATCAGTGTTTAAAATCTGATTGGTGCCTGTAATTATTTGAAATTATTGGTAATTAATTGAGACCAGTGCTGCCAAACACCAAAACCACAGGTCATGTAGATATTGTGTTTGCAAGAAACTTACAATTCTGCTTCATCTGAGAAGCTTTACCAGGATGACTGTTTGTGCCATTTATACTCTATGTGCAAATAGCTGCTGCCTCCAATAGAAAATCCTCTCTATTCACTTAATATGCAAGTTGAGAAAGCACAAACTGCTGGGAAATGTGCTATATTAGACTAAATACCAGTTGCATTATTTTAGAATTTAAAACAAATGAGAAACACAGAATCCTGCAAGGAAACACCAGTTGTAATCATTTTAGCTGCTCATTAAAAATGCAATTTGCCACCGTAGTTCCGAATTTGTCCTGTTTAACAGCAGAGCACTGAGATCTAAAATACTGTTTATATAAATGGAGGAGAACAGCTTTAGTAGTGAGTAAAGAAAGGTGGTAAATGAAGTAACCTTCCACCCAGTAACGTGCACAGACGCTCAACAACAAGCAGGGAAAACCCGGAGCTATAATCTGAACACACGAACACAGTCTTTTCCAGGTTGTTGACGATCTATATTTAGGAAATTATCCACTAATCTGGTTAGAGGAAGATTATTTTTATTGTATTGATTTAAAATGATAGAAAATATAAAGCCCTGTGTAATATAATTCAAACTCACTTTTATCAGGTGAAGCCACAAACTGAAACTCTCTCTGAAGCTTTTAAACATTAAGTCCTGCAATGACTTTAACTGAGGTCCAAACCGGAGCGACTGGATGTCAAAACAACATACGAGGACTTGGCGAGACAGAAGCAGTAATTCCAATTAAAACTGTAAATCCAATCTTCACTGTGAGAGTTTGGTTTGTGAAAACAGGTGCGTCCCCCGGCTGTTCTGCTGCCACAGGCTGGGTCAGGACCCAAATGGGTTAAAAATGGATCTGAGTATTATTTCAGAGCCGACTTACAGGTGCTGGAGTTGTTGTGCCGTGCTGCTCTGTGAGGCTGAATGAAGAGTGATAAGCTTGTAGGTTACCAATGTTAGTAGTAGCCTCAAATAGGATAAATCCCACAGGAGTGCATTCACCTCTACTCTTAGGTAACACCTGAAGAGGAGGTTTACTGCAGCACATTCAAACACAGTCACTCTGAGAGAGAAGCTGTGATAAATAACTACATTTGTGTTGTTTCTGTCAGTCTGACCTTACCTCAGTGTGGCTGCTCAACAGGGAAATCCACAAAACACAAAGTCCTGCAGCAGCAGAGTTACACCAGTTCGAGTGCTGACATCCAACCAGCTGACTGCCTGTTATAGTAAACCCCTGCAGACACTGAATAACTGCAGCTGTATTTATAGATGCATCTATACCCGCAGCCGATTCTATGACACATCAGATTTTTGTGGAAACAGCAGTCTGCTTGCTTGCTTGTACACTCCTGTCTTCCTGCTCTCAGGCTGTTCCAGAGAACTTGTGTTATTACCATCTCTGGCAGCACTGTAGTGTGTAAATAAATGTTTGGGGGAATTCCCCCTAATATCTTTATCATCAAGTTAGTGTTCTCAGAAGTTGTTGTTATCGCAGGAATCCTGTCTAATCACAGCAACAAACAGGATGTCAGTGAAACACTGAGTTCTTACCTCTTAGTTCTTCAGCTCCATCACCAAACACAGTCTAACCGTCGGCTCTTCCGCTGTAAAAATCAACCTGCTTTCAGTCTTTTTCTGCTAAAAATCTGGAAAAGTAAACACTCCCTGCAGCCACCTGTAGCTCTGCCCCACGAACACTGAACGTCCTCCTCTCCTTGTATCTCCTCGACGTGCTGCATGTGCAGGATCGCAGCTCTACGTGCCTGCAGCTGTGCAGTGTGCAGGGCTGAGATCTGCTGTGAGCTGGTCTAATCAGGCTGAGCAGCCATCTGACCCTGACAGGCCTGTCACCAGCAGAACACTCCTCAGATAATGCTCTTAGAGGAGAAGAGCTGCTCCCCTCCGCCTCTACTTCTTCATCCACTCCAGTATTTTCTGCCTTGGTGAGCTTTCTATGTGAGCAAAGACGCTCTTCTCCTCCCTCCAACGGGCCAATGGTTGCACAGTTCAGCCACGGTTGCTCTAAAGGCGAAACAGTGCTTTTCAGTTTATGCTCTTCTGAAATGAAACTTGTGCAAAACAACTTTGTATATTTGCAGCAACACGCCTGTCTGGTGCTTCTCTTGTTTTTCCTCCCTATCCTTCCCTTCACATCTAAAAATAGATCCTTTGAGCTACAGGCAGATCAGACAAGTCAACCCATTCACTGTCACTGCATGGAATTAACTTTCTCCTAAACAGCAAAGCTCTCAGGTTAGTTGGCTTTCTTACGGCAAACCTACACTGTGAAGTGTGTTTGTCCAACAACTTACATAAGAATGTTAGAAACATAAGAACACAAGAAAAACACATTGTTTTCTCTCTTTTTTTCCAGGATCATTCTGTTTACCAGGTTATGACATGGATACGTGAGTCCAGAGAGTCACAAGACAGTCACAGGCTCAGACTTTTTAAAGCAGAACCAGTCGGGGCCTCAGCTCACTATCAATCACTCTGAGTGGAGGTTAACGTGTCTGAAAACCTTCTCGTACCTGCTAAAATTAGCTGAAGCACCACTTCAAGTTTTTCCAGGTCACAACAGTAAAACCTGGACGTTCACAATCACTGTTTGGCTCCTCAGAGCTGGTTTTGATGCATCATGACACACTGTTATCTTGGTTTTCATTTAGTCGCCTATCTTCTTCCAGATAATGAGCATAAATACAGCCATGAGTGGGGCCTTGTTGTTGTTGTTGTTAAATTAGGGCTTTGATTGCAAATCTAAACAGAAAAAAAGGTGACCGTGTCTCATCAACACACCGTACGGTTTGCTTAATTCACGTCTTCTAAAGCTCACGGGTTCATGTGTGAAAGCAGAGACAGAAGCACAAGGTCACATTTTGCAGCAAACCTTTTACTTTATGCCAAAAATGTCAAGGATCTGTGAGTCCGTTTTAGTGAGAAAATGCTTGTGAAGTCTGTGGAGTAGAGATTCATTCAATCAGGAAATTTAAAGAAAAAATCTTCAGGTACTGAAAGATGAGTTGCAAAAAGAAAACATTTGTTATTTTGTGCTCAGCCAACCTGAACCAAAACCAATCCAAACATGTCCAGCTCAGTCCAGACTTCTCATGTGTAAAACTTCAAAAGTATTTGGTTTATGTTTAATTTTTTAAAAAAGGCTGTGAAGACCTTTTGTGTTTTGGATTTGGCTGTTTTTTATACTGCAGACACTTATAGGTTGTTTTAGGACATCCTGAACATTTCTGCATGTTCTGACCACAAAATCCATCCCTTTCTACCCTCTTTCAGGGTAGTTTTGGAGGGAGAAAAACATACCTGCTGATTTTCTGCCCTCTCAGTGGCTTTGATCAACACCCGTCTTCTCCTCTTTAAGATCACCACCAACTATGCAAAATTCACCACACAGTCCACCGTAGCAAACTTCCATTTTTCCATTTCCTACATGCCTGTAGAACTGGAAATAAAACGACTGTTTATTTTGATGCAATTAATGTCAAAGCTGCTGGATTCTACAATGCAGTGGAAACAGAAAGGCTGAAAGGGCCAATCACAGGCCTGTTTGATGTGATTCGACAGGTCTTTACTAGTCCCACAGTGGGGAAATTTGCATTGTTACAGCAGCAACACGGAAATATTTATATCAGTAGAAAAATACAATATAATATAACCAAAATAATATACATAAATACGCAGATTGTGCAAATTCCTCTGGATGGAAATACAAATATTGCACACAACTTTTTGTCTTGGCTTTCCATTGAACTTTACTTTATTCTGTGACCTCTATTTCTTTCCCCTATAAACCACACCATGATGTCTCTGACCTCTAAGTGCTTCCACATTCTCTTCCTCCACCTGATCCTGCAGAGGAACACTCTGCTCCGGCCCTCGTCTGTTTTGGCTGCAGACCGGAGCTCGCCGGCCCAAACATGGCTGCTGCAGTGGTTTCTGGAAATGTGAGCCGACACCCAGTAGGTCAAGCTTCAGCTGGCAGTCTGACGCTTTCTAAGGGGCCTAAAGGACACTCAGGGCTG